AATGACAGTACAACATGGTTGAAGTTAGACTTCAAAACAGGACCAACATTAAAGGACTTGAAATAAATTTCCAAACTCCATGATCGCCATATTGGTGCCATCTCTTCTTAAATATAAATAATGATACAAAAAATAAGTCGGAAATGAAAAAAAAAAACATAAAAAAGAAAGCAAAAAATGATATTACATATTGAGACATAGAAATTGAATCTAAAACAGGCATTAATTTGTAAACATACTGTTTAAAATGTACATTGTAAATTTAAAAATAATTAACACTATGTTTAAGGAAACAAAAATGTCAGATCTGAATATGCTATTTTTTTCTCTCATTGCACATTTTTTTTCTCTAAGAAATACAGACGATGTCACAATATGTTGAATATAACACACTATGAAAACCATCTTGTTTACAAGAATTGTTGAAAATAGCAATCAGGGACTTCATACTTCATTGAGTGCCATGTATTTGGGTATGGGTATTTGACAAATTTGTATAAATAGTAACTATGACCTGTTTTACTTCAACTTCGACCAACAGTTTAGAAATCTAATTTTGACAGACTTTTTCATCAAGTCTTGAGACTGATGATATTGAATGGGGATCCAACACAATGCTATCACAAGTGTATCAGACCTTTATACAAGTAACTATAATGCTACCCCCTTCCCATATGAAATGGTGGGGGCATAAAAACAATAGTGAACAAATATCAACTACAAATAAAGGAAAACAGACATTGCAGTATACAGCCACTTTTAGCCATTGACTAAGTATGATGATGCATGATATACAACACAAGTTCAATTTGACAGTATGGGACAAATATAAGCTTCCTTCTGAGCCTATATAGTTACCACAGATCTATATTATTCCAGGAATCAACACAGGAATATCATCTAATAAACCTTTAAAGAGCAATAAGCTGTTTTGATAGGTTTAAGAATGGAATATCCCTAATGTTTGAACCTGTGATGTTAATGAAGGGAATTCCTTTGGCGATATATTTAGAGCCATATTTCTAGTGATGTCACTCTAGGGAATTCCATTATCGATATGAATATTTACAGATAACTGATAAAGGGGAATTCCCATGGGATGGGATCTACATTTTGTATTTCTAGAGATGTCATAAGGAATTTCTTTTGTGGGCATGTCAAGGTTTATCTCATGACAATAATAGATTTATCTCATGACAATGATATATTTATCTCTTGACATTGATAGGTTTATCTCATGACAATGATAGGTTTATCTCATGACAGGAGTAGGTTTATGTCGTGTTAATGATAGGTTTATCTCATGACAATGATGGGTTTATGTCATAACAATGATAGGTTTATCTCATGTCAATGATAAGTTTATCTCATGACAATGATGGGTTTATGTCATAACAATGATAGGTTTATCTCATGACATTGATAGGTTTATGTTATAACAATGATGGGTTTATGTCATAACAATGATAGGTTTATCTCATGACAATGATAGGTGTATGTCATGACATTGATAGGTTTATCTCATGACAGTGATAGGTTTATCTCATGTCAATGATAGGTTTATCTCATGACAATGATAGGTTTATCTCATGTCAATGATAGGTTTATCTCATGACAGTGATAGGTTTATCTCATGACAATGATAGGTTTATGTCATAACAATGATAGGTTTATCTCATGACAGTGATAGGTTTATCTCATGACAATGATAGGTTTATGTTATAACAATGATAGGTTTATGTTATAACAATGATAGGTTTATCTCATGACAGTGATAGGTTTATCTCATGACATTGATAGGTTTATCTCATGACAATGATAGGTTTATGTTATAACAATGATAGGTTTATGTTATAACAATGATAGGTTTATCTCATGACAGTGATAGGTTTATCTCATGACAGTGATAGGTTTATCTCATGACAATGATAGGTTTATGTTATAACAATGATAGGTTTATGTTATAACAATGATAGGTTTATCTCATGACAATGATAGGTTTATCTCATGACAATGATAGGTGTATGTCATGACATTGATAGGTTTATCTCATGACAGTGATAGGTTTATCTCATGTCAATGATAGGTTTATCTCATGACAATGATAGGTTTATGTCATGACAATGATAGGTTTATGTTATAACAATGATAGGTTTATCTCATGACAATGATAGGTTTATCTCATGACAGTGATAGGTTTATCTCATGACAGTGATAGGTTTATCTCATGACAGTGATAGGTTTATCTCATGACAGTGATAGGTTTATCTCATGACATTGATAGGTTTATCTCATGACAGTGATAGGTTTATCTCATGTCAATGATAGGTTTATCTCATGACAATGATAGGTTTATGTCATGACAATGATAGGTTTATGTTATAACAATGATAGGTTTATGTTATAACAATGATAGGTTTATCTCATGACAATGATAGGTTTATCTCATGACAGTGATAGGTTTATCTCATGACATTGATAGGTTTATCTCATGACAGTGATAGGTTTATCTCATGTCAATGATAGGTTTATCTCATGACAATGATAGGTTTATGTCATGACAATGATAGGTTTATCTCATGACAGTGATAGGTTATCTCATGACAATGATAGGTTTATCTCATGACAGTGATAGGTTTATCTCATGACAGTGATAGGTTTATCTCATGACAATGATAGGTTTATCTCATGACAATGATAGGTTTATCTCATGACAGTGATAGGTTTATCTCATGACAGTGATAGGTTTATCTCATGACAGTGATAGGTTTATCTGATGACAATGATAGGTTTATCTCATGACAGTGATAGGTTTATCTCATGACAATGATAGGTTTATCTCATGACAATGATAGGTTTATCTCATGACAATGATAGGTTTATATCATGACAATGATATGTAGGTTTATATCTTAACATTGATAGGTTTATCTCATGACAGTCATAGGTTTATCTCATGCCAATCATAGGTTTATGTCATGACAATGATAGGTTTATGTTATAACAATGATAGGTTTATGTTATAACAATGATAGGTTTATCTCATGACAATGATAGGTTTATCTCATGACAGTGATAGGTTTATCTCATGACATTGATAGGTTTATCTCATGACAATGATAGGTTTATCTCATGACAGTGATAGGTTTATCTCATGACAGTGATAGGTTTATCTCATGACAGTGATAGGTTTATCTGATGACAATGATAGGTTTATCTCATGACAGTGATAGGTTTATCTCATGACAATGATAGGTTTATCTCATGACAATGATAGGTTTATCTCATGACAATGATAGGTTTATATCATGACAATGATATGTAGGTTTATATCATAACATTGATAGGTTTATCTCATGACAGTCATAGGTTTATCTCATGCCAATGATAGGTTTATCTCATGACAGTGATAGGTTTATGTCATAACAATGATAGGTTTATGTCATAACATTGATAGGTTTATCTCATGACAGTGATAGGTTTATCTCATGTCAATGATAGGTTTATCTCATGACAGTAATAGGTTTATCTCATGACAGTGATAGGTTTATCTCATGACAGTAATAGGTTTATCTCATGTCAATGATAGGTTTATCTCATGACAGTGATAGGTTTATCTCATGACAGTGATAGGTTTATCTCATGACAGTGATAGGTTTATCTGATGACAATGATAGGTTTATCTCATGACAATGATAGGTTTATATCATGGAAGAAGTAGGTTTATTTCCTGACAATGTTATGATGTGTTTTGATGTGGCTAGGCTTATTACTAGGAATGGTCTTATTTCCGGATCAATACAAAGGTACCTCCATTAGAAACTCTCTATACTTCAGCTGTGATCATGGTGCTATCTGTACAATTACATAAATACATAATTAACATAATCTAATATATTATAATCTTGAATTGCCAAGAAACTACTGTGAATTAATAATAATATTTTATATCATATAGTTATTAAATATGAACATGTACAAAAATATGAAAAACAGAAGAGAGAAAAGAAATAGTTTACCATTCTTTCCAAACTTCGGAGTATGTATATCATTTATATATAAATACTACATACCACATTTTTATCACATGAAACAAATATCATAGAATAACCCCAAAACATCACAAGAAGTGTCAGACACTGGAATTTTATATAAAAAATAGCTTATGTAAAATCAAAACCTACATTATATCACAGATAAGTATTTTGTGATATGTTTAGTGTAACAGTCTGGATAGAAATTACTTACAAATCAATTGTCAGTCACACAAAAAAATCCCAAATCACAGCTCATAAAAATAAGAAGTTCATAAACTGACATTGAGATGCTGTTTTTATATGTTTCAAATTTTCCCACTTTCGTTTTAGATTCAATGCAATTTGGACATAAAAATGAGTACAAAAGTCTTCTATTAGCACATAATTAACACGGAGTGTTAAAACCATGTATATATTTAGTGTATATGCATTATATACATATATATACCATCTCAATCCAGACATCACACAGACTATCACTAAAAACTCTCAAACAAATAAATATTTACTTACTTAAGCTAATTAATCCTCCTTATATTGTAATATTAACCCTATTTCCACCAAATTTCATTACTACAATATTGATCTTGATTCATACCTGTCGACTTCCCAAATCTCAAATCTGATAGAAACCATGTGGTCAGTATTGTCTCCGAAATCCATTTGTAATACATATTCTGACAATGCAATATTTCAAATTTTAGGTACTCTATACTGTGTACTGATTTAAATTCTAACAGTATGGATGCAAGTTTTACAAAAATCTAAAAGTGTCTGAATTTGAAGAATTTTAAGCAAAAATTTGAGACTCTCACCAAAATTGGGAAGGTTGAAAAGTATATCAAACTTAACATTCATCTTTTAAAATTAAAACAGTATCCTCTTCAGTTCAATTTCAATTATTCAAAAAATATTTTGTTTCCTTTTTCTCCTTTTCATTCAGCTGTGTTTCTCTCCACTGTGTGCAGTTCACTCGCCTTTATTCTGTTCTTTCAATTCTTTCTCTGCTTCATCCATCAGAGTTTGCATATTATCCACCTAGACAATATTGGAAAACAAAAACATGAAGAATTTTTCAGAAATCTAATCCTAGTTAGTGAAGCCTGTGTATACTGTGTAGGCTTAAACAAAAAAACATAGTAATCTGTAATTAAAACTTCAGTATTTCTTAAACTCTGCAACCTAAACTCAAATTTTATCAAAACCTTCTGTGAAATCTGTCTTAACTGAACTTTGATCTTTAGGAAATTAACATTAGCCATATCAAAAATTATCTTAACCAAAATTTTAGTTTTCCAAAATCTTACTTAAAATATCTACAGCAAATGTTTTCTTTACTAAACCAAAATTTACCTAGGTGCTTATATACCCATGACGACAATGATTTCTTACCTTGCTTAACAATTCCTGACTGTCGGGGAAATGCTCCTTTGTTTTGTAAGCATATTCTCGACCAAGATCAATCTCACATGCAAGGACTGCTTGTGAAATAGCTAAGAGGGCAATGTCAGTATCCTGTGGTGCAAGTTCAAACAATTTCTTTGCCCCTGCAAGGGCAATGTCGTGCTGACCTTCTTTTCTACGACAAGTTACCATATTTCTAAGGTAAGCCTGAAACATACATAGCTCACTTACATTATTTCAAAATTAAACACAAAACCTGTAGAACAATATGTTACTACTAAATGTATTTATCACATAACTGGTCTGTTGTGTCATGCAATACAGCCATGTCATAACTATTGTAAGACATGTAATAAATCTTTTTATGACATTATAAATAAAGTCATGTCTTAATGATGTCACGTTATTGTCTCAGCAGTGAAAAACATGTCATCCCTAGTGAAAAGTCTGTATTATATGGATGATTTGAGAGTTTTCACCCATTTTTCAGAAATACATGATGAAATGAATCTTACTTTAGTGGTGGTTTAAGAGTACAAACAAAATCAATAAAAAAACATCCCCCAAGAAAATGGGAATTTTCCTACATAAAATCTTCCATCCAAAAACAACAGAACATCTTTGAAATAAATTTCAGTCATTTTGACCCATTTTTGGCCCTGCCCATCATCCCCTGGGGGTCAGTCAAGGTCTATATGTGCATCTCATGAAACAGTCAGCTTTTACCAACGAATAAAATTCGAACCTAATTTTGAATTATTTCTGAAATTATGCGAAAAAATGTAATTTTCCTATACAAAATATAGTAAATTTCACCCCCTCCCCTCGGGGAAATGTGAGACCCTGGGGTCATGAAATTCACAATTTTTATAAGGCACCCTAACAACACCTCCATCCATGATGGGTATTTCACTCTACATTATCTTGGTATTGAGAAGAAGATTTTTGAAAATTCAATCAATTTGTCCTAATTTTGGCCTTGCCCATCAGCCCCTGGGGGTCAGCCGAGGTCAATATATGCATCCCATTAAATTATCATCTTAAACAAATAATACTAACCAGGTTTGAACTATTTTCAATAGAAAATAAACAAATCATTTTCAAAAATATTGTTTACGTATATGAATTATTGTTAATTTTACCCCCTCCCCAGGGGCACGAAATTTACAATTTTGGTAAAGCATCTGAAGGCCTTTATATCAATGAAGAGTACTTGATTCTATGATACCCGGGGTTTGAGAAGAACATTTTTGAAGTTTCAATCAATGTGACCCTTTTTGGACCCACTCCTCAGGCCCCTGGGGGGATCGGGACCATATAATTTACAATTTTCATGCACCTTTAGCCATGAAAGGTTTTTGTAAAATTTCATTGAAATCAGTTCTGGAGTTTTTCAGAAGTCTTAAATGTTAAACATTTACAACACACAACGTACGATGCTGGACAAAAAGGGATTACAATAGGTCACCCTGGGACTTTGTTTCAGGTGACCAAAAAATTGACAGGAAATCTTACCAAAGTGAGAGAATCCTTCAAATTATTGTAAAAATAATAAACCTGACCAATTTTCCTTCTTATAGAATTCATCTTGAAATCTCATCAAAGTTAAATTATTATTTCTCTTTAATTAACCTGTGGTCAACACAACACCTCTAACCCAAAAAGGACAAGCTTGACAATAAGAAATTCTTTACTGTTTTAATTAAAGTGTATCTTCCAACATGTTGTTGGACTAAATATCTAGGATCACCTTATAGTATTTTTCTTAATAACTTACAACACTGTCAGGATATTTCTCCAAGGCTGCCTCTGATACAGCTAACAGCATCACTGTATCAACATTATCACTATCTAACATCTCCAGGCCGTAGTCGTAAACTGCTGAACCGTGAGTCGTGCAGTCATGAAATGTGTTCAGAAGTCTCACAAACTCTTGTGCATCTCTATTTGGTATCAAATAATTCACAGCTTTCTGGCGCAGAAGATCAGGGCTCTCAGGCCATCTGAAACCGAAAATTGACAGACATGGATATGCATGCATTGTTTTTGAGAGAAACATATTGTACACAGGCAATGCTTAATATCACTTCATTTTTCACATGGACAGTGCTTAACTTCACATCATTTTTCACAATGACAATGCTTAATATAACATCATTTTTCACAATGACAATGCTTAATATAACATCATTTTTCACAATGACAATGCTCAATATCACATCATTTTTCACAATGACAATGCTTAATATCACATCATTTTTCACAATGACAATGCTTAATATCACATCATTTTTCACACGGACAATGCTTAATATAACATCATTTTTTACAACTATCACAAAAAGATAAGTGGGCTTATTATAAAGCATGCTCTTATAAAAGGTCAATGTAACAGCATTTGTTGGTTATTCTATGATACAGCATTAAAAAGCCTGGGCTTATTATCTCTATTACTTCACATGGGCTTATTGACAGATACACTGTCATTAAGGATTTATATATTACCATATTTACATTGTACAATGTTTGCTTATGAAGATTAACTTACTTTTCAAGTGCATGATCTAGAGACATACTGTCTGGACGTTCTGGACGTTTGTCTGGAGGTTGCATTTCCGTATCTAGATGGTCTAAATGGACGATATTGACTGCACTGACCAGCTTACTGTTGATGAGGGCTAAAGTGATTCTCAAGGCCTCTGAATAGCGATTTGCAGAGATGAGATGTTTGACAACATCAGTAAGAAACCATCCTAAACAGAAGTCCACTCTCTCTTCTTTCTCTACAACTTCAACTGTAACAGGACAAGTCACGCTGATATTTATACTGTGGAACACAATGTCAGAGAACACATTACAAACAAGGCAAGAACATACTACAGGTACACACAAGCATATAACAGTTTATCCATCCTGTCAGACATATATGATAGGATCTTCCATTACTGTAATGTTGAAATGCAAATAGATTTCGTTCTATTGTAAGAACAATGTGTTCCCACACCATAAGATTGAGTTCGAAAGTTTTCTTTTTTAATGTTGTATAATCCCAGCTACTGAAATGATAAACCCAGGAGGCAACCACTGCAGATGCAATGCAATGACCTCTTTATATCAAATGTGGTCAAAACTCCATGAAAATGGTCAAAAACTGGTGAAAATTTATCAGAGACCAGAATGGGGGCTGGGGGGATGTAAATTGACTTCACAAGGCACATATTGTAGTCTGGGAGTGAGTTGATGTACAAGACTATGATATACTATCTATTTTGTTAATCCTTGTATAAAACCAGTTAATAGCAATACATATCAATGGGCTTATTACCAGACATCGGCTTATTTGTGGAACATTACATCAATGTTATTTAACTTGTACCACAACAGGCTTAAGAAATATGTTGCATGTTGATAAGGAATGATTCATGAAGCTATTTACTCACAAAAAGGGAAAAATTCCTCAAGAGTTTCCTCAAATTTGCTCAGTTTCCATTTGGTGAGGAGGACATTCTCCTGTATCATGAGATACTGGACATTTCCTGGCAACACGTTCAGTGCCTGGTGAAACAACAGGAACATTTTACAGGTTAAATTGTCTGTTAGGTTTGTCAAGTGGTAAACAACCAAAGTCATTTTGAGGCGGGATGTTCTTGTGGGGTAGTACTTGACTGAACAACATATGAAGGCGTTTCGAATATTATCCTGAGCAATAAGGGTAAAATATATTGCCCTTGGACACAACTGTAATAGCACACAACTGTGATAGCACATACTGGTGGGTTTCTTAGCTTCACAAGAAACACAAACCACCACAGTAGCAGGCGTTGAACCATGCACCTCGGATTTTCTCCATGGGATACATAAGCTACCACTCTAACTTGCAGAACTATCATGACCCCAACCACGAAGTCACTAGAAAACAACATTCAAACTTTATACCTAATTGACTGAAACATCATGATAAATCCAAAAAACAAAAACATACAAAGACAACTTTTTGAACTATAAATATTCCTGTTAATGCAATCAGTAAAACATGCATAGCTTAAGGCCAGTTAATGAAAAAAACTTACAGTAAAAATTTGATAAAGGTTCCTCAAGGACTATTAGAGATAGGTATATACAGGTGTAAAGTAGTCAACAAAACATGGAAAGTACATGTAAATGAGATAAGCTGACAAACAATAACTTTTAAAAATGCCAAACTTACCATCGCCATAGAATTAATTATATTTTGTCCTAAAAATTATGTTTTAATTCTGTATTCATATATTATAAATTAAAATCTAATATTTTTCTTTTCTTTGGGTTTTTTTTTTGTTTTTTTTTTTTTTGTTTATTGTACATTCCAGCATGTAGTTTTAAAAGAGGCATACAGTATTCCAGCTTACAATAATTCATAATGGGATGTGGTAGCATAATTAGAATAATCTCTTTTTTTAGAAATAAGATATGAAGTAGTGACCTTGTAAATGTTGAGACCCTCTTGGAAGTAATTCAATGATTTTTCAAGGTTCCCTCGTATGCCTTCCAGGGTGCCTAGATTCATCAACGATAATGGAATGTCAATGTGAAGCTCACCAAAAGCCTGTCTCTTGATCTGTAAGGATCTGTGAGGTGAGAATATTACAGGTGTGTAAATGAGTCGATATTAGCTTAGTTAAAGTTGATCTGGAGAAATATAGAAGGTTCATCAAATCTACATCAGACGAAATAAATAGATAATAAAATATTTGTCTGTGGGTGTTAGGTATAGAAAATACTTCTGTCTTTTGTAGGTGTTATATATACAAAATATTTCTGTCTTCATTGAGTTTTAAGTATACGAAATATTTCTGTCTTCTGTGGATGTTAAGCATACAAAGGGTGTTAAGTAAACAAAATATTTCCATCTTCTGTGGGTGTTAAGCATACAGAGTATTTCTGTCTTCTGTGGGTGTTAAGTATACAAAGTATTTCTGTCTTCTGTGGGTGTTACATATACAAAGTATTTCTGTCTTCTGTGGGTGTTACATATACAAAGTATTACTGTATTTTGTGGTAGTTAAGTATACAAAGTATTTCTGTCTTCTGTAGGTGTTACATATACAAAGTATTTCTGTCTTCTGTTGGTGTTACATATACAAAGTATTACTGTCTTCTGTAGGTGTTACATATACAAAGTATTACTGTCTTTTGTGGGTGTTAAGTATACAAAGTATTTCTGTCTTTTGTGGGTGTTAAGCATACAAAATATTTCTGTCTTCTGTGGGTGTTAAGTATACAAAGTATTACTGTATTTTGTGGGTGTTACATATACAAAGTATTACTGTCTTCTGTTGGTGTTAAGTATACAAAGTATTACTGTATTTTGTGGGTGTTACATATACAAAATATTTCTGTCTTCTGTTGGTGTTACATATACAAAGTATTTCTGTCTTCTGTGGGTGTTACATATACAAAGTATTTCTGTCTTCTGTTGGTGTTAAGTATACAAAGTATTACTGTATTTTGTGGGTGTTACATATACAAAATATTTCTGTCTTCTGTTGGTGTTACATATACAAAGTATTTCTGTCTTCTGTTGGTGTTAAGTATACAAAGTATTACTGTATTTTGTGGGTGTTACATATACAAAATATTTCTGTCTTCTGTTGGTGTTACATATACAAAGTATTTCTGTCTTCTGTGGGTGTTACATATACAAAGTATTTCTGTCTTCTGTTGGTGTTACATATACAAAATATTTCTGTCTTCTGTATGTGTTACATATACAAAATATTTCTGTCTTCTGTAGGTGTTACATATACAAAGTATTTCTGTCTTCTGTTGGTGTTACATATACAAAATATTTCTGTCTTCTGTATGTGTTACATATACAAAATATTTCTGTCTTCTGTAGGTGTTACATATACAAAGTATTTCTGTCTTCTGTGGATGTTACATATACAAAGTATTACTGTCTTCTGTGGGTGTTAAGTATACAAAGTATTACTGTATTTTGTGGGTGTTACATATACAAAATATTTCTGTCTTCTGTGGGTGTTACATATACAAAGTATTTCTGTCTTTTGTGGGTATTAAGTATACAAAGTATTACTGTATTTTGTGGTAGTTAAGTATACAAAGTATTTCTGTCTTTTGTGGGTGTTAAGTATACAAAGTATTACTGTATTTTGTGGTAGTTAAGTATACAAAGTATTTCTGTCTTCTGTGGGTGTTACATATACAAAGTATTTCTGTCTTCTGTTGGTGTTACATATACAAAATATTTCTGTCTTCTGTATGTGTTACATATACAAAATATTTCTGTCTTCTGTAGGTGTTACATATACAAAGTATTTCTGTCTTCTGTGGATGTTACATATACAAAGTATTACTGTCTTCTGTGGGTGTTAAGTATACAAAGTATTACTGTATTTTGTGGGTGTTACATATACAAAATATTTCTGTCTTCTGTGGGTGTTACATATACAAAGTATTTCTGTCTTTTGTGGGTGTTAAGTATACAAAGTATTACTGTATTTTGTGGTAGTTAAGTATACAAAGTATTTCTGTCTTTTGTGGGTGTTAAGTATACAAAGTATTACTGTATTTTGTGGTAGTTAAGTATACAAAGTATTTCTGTCTTCTGTGGGTGTTACATATACAAAGTATTTCTGTCTTCTGTGGGTGTTACATATACAAAGTATTTCTGTCTTCTGTGGGTGTTACATATACAAAGTATTTCTGTCTTCTGTGGGTGTTACATTTACAAAGTATTTCTGTCTTCTGTGGGTGTTACATATACAAAGTATTACTGTCTTCTGTGGGTGTTACATAAACAAAGTATTTCTGTCTTCTGTGGGTGTTACATATACAAAGTATTACTGTCTTTTGTGAGTGTTACATATACAAAGTATTTCTGTCTTTTGTGGGTGTTAAGTATACAAAGTATTTCTGTCTTTTGTGGGTGTTAAGCATACAAAATATTTCTGTCTTCTGCGGTTGTTAAGTATACAAAATATTTCTGTCTTTTGTGGGTGTTAAGTATACAAAATATTTCTGTCTCATTTGAGTGACATCATTGCCATACTGCTGACTATCATGTTACATTGTTACCAACAAGGAAACAGAAGTCTTCTGCGGTTGTTAAGTATACAAAATATTTCTGTCTTTTGTGGGTGTTAAGTATACAAGATATTTCTGTCTCATTTGAGTGACATCATTGCCATACTGCTGACTATCATGTTACATTGTTACCAACAAGGAAACAGAAGTAGTCAGCGTTTGACATCAAGTATCCAGTGAGATAAGATTTTATTCCAAAGTAAATAAAGTTAAAATGTAAGTAAAGAGAGTGAATTAGTTTACCTGAAGTAAAACTTCTCTGCTTTGTCCAGCTCACCCTTTCGTCTGTAGATGAGGCCTATGTTGGTAAAGAGATTACCTATCTTTGGTGGTAAGTGGCCAAAACTGATGTCCTCCTCCAGCTGTTAATACAAATACAAAAGTTTAAGTGGAGCAGATTTTAACTGAACATAGCATTACGGTCACCTTCTATATCTTGGCACTAGATGGAATTCCCATGGTGGACCAATAAGCCAGAGTTGTGGGCTCAAACCCACGTGGAAACACACCAAGCCTTTCCAGTTACATTTGTAATTACATAATGTCATGTCCATCCTCAACTTTTTCTAGGTACATAATGGACAAAAGATTGCGCACATTGCTGTATTTACACATCTACATGTTTAATATGATGGCCTTTCATTGTCTTAGTGAATCAAATTCTAAGGAGTATAGGATAATATATTCAAAAACACAAAAAAGTAATGGGACATCCATCATTTTGGTGCAATGTTGACTTATATGTCAATCAATTCTGTGCATTGCCTCAGATAACACACCTAATAGCTTCAAGTAAATCATTCAGTTGACTATGATTTTAAGGAATCTCTTTCATTTAATAACTTGATTAAAATGAAACATCAATGTTTTATTAAAGTAATATCTGAAATGTATAAGTAGTTATAAAATGCTTGTCAGAATTAATTTATTGACAAAAATTAATGCAATCTGGGATACAGACAAATAGAATAATGTCTATAACTGTTCCTTGGTTAAAAGAAGAGAGAGAAAAGAACAAAATCACTTTGTTCTTTGTAGATCACTTAATGCTATCCCATCAGTCCCTATATTATCACAATACACTAACTCAGGAAATGGAGAATAATCAAAAGGGGAGTAACTCCTATGTTCTTACCAGTTACAATTAAATACAGAGTGAGTGTATACAATGGTTATACACTGTAATTACCTATATAACAGGTATCAATAATACTTGTGTTATTGACTTTGATGGACACTAAGCAATATCTCTGGAACAATGTTTTCCTCAAATTATACAAGACCAAAAGAAAAAACACATTTATTTAATTTGTTTGTATCACAATTCTTCGTCAGAGTAATTACCAGTAAAAGTGAAGGTCTCTTACTGTAATATATTTTGTACATGCCCCCAGCTTAACATTCTACAAAAATCTTACTTTCAAAGCTTTTGTGGCATATTCCAGTGCTTCATCCAGAAGTCCTAAATTCATTTTAATGGTGGCCATGTTGGTGTACGAAGCAGCTAAGTCACTCTTGTGCATACCATTTTCTTCAAATTTAATTGACTTTACCAAGTACTCCATGGCCTATCAATAGAAATAATATGGAATGGATCAAGATTAAACACCTGTTTTCTCCACAGAAGTAAATTAAAACATATTGTGTATTTGTAATTATCATATACTTATGTATAGGATTTTACAAGAGAGTTTTTATGGTATTCACGGAATGAGCCTGAGAATTTTCCAAAGTCTTGTAAGTGTGATGTGGAAAAAAAAGAGGTGCCAATTTGAACCATCCAGTAACCAACTGATGATGAGTCTGACTTTGTTCAGGTCAGCTGTATATAGTAAAATATTATTCAAAACATCAGAATTTTGAAGGGCTGATGCACTTATCACCTGTTTGAGGTGCCATGACCTGAGGCCCCTCAAGAGTTATATGTAATGTCACCAAGTATGTCAGTTAGGATTTCCTGATGATGATATATCATTGTTGTGAAGATATCTTGAAGGGTTGGTTCTTGGAACAGAAAATGTTACTTTAGAGCTTATTTTCAATCTTTCTGATACAATAAAATGATGTGACTGATCTACTATCTCAGTTTTTGACAATCCATATGAACTTATTACTGATGACCTGATCGCAAACTTCAAAAACTACAGTTTTCACTCCATATTAACCCCCAAGTTTTCCTGACTAAACAAAAATGAGATGGTTTACATAGCATTCTATATGCATCTGACCCTTGAAATGTCTCCCTAAAAAGTTACTATTATTACAGAATGGCCCAAATTGCCATACTGGTCTCTTAAGATCTTTTCAATTATCACTTTACCACTGTTTATGCTTTTTTCCCTTTTATTTTGTAGATATTGCTGAATACATCTTTGCTCAATATTTAGGTTTCCATTGTATTGTTACAATATTTAGGTTTATGAAGTTTCACTATCATTTCATGACATGACAAATAAAGGTCATATTATTGTCATACACAAAAACTGTTAAAGTTGACTTATGTGCGTATTTACTAAACAACACAACAACCATGATATCATTGATATCATGTTCCACCAATTAATATGTCTTTGAAATGATAAGCAGACAGAAATTGACTTGCATTTTCAGATCCAGTTTGTTTTTCACGAGTACAACACATCCACACAAGCAAGAATCAACATCACAGAAAAGTTTTTAAAAACACAAAATTTCAGCCCAACAAAAAATGTATCTGATGATAAGTAAGGCTAATGATTAAAAGTGGAGGAAGATGTAATAGACATCAGTAAAACCTTACAACCTACTTTATCATTATCCTGTAGTTGTAGGTACAGTACATGTAGACCATGGTACGACGTTCCTAAGGCCAACTTGTCGTCCTCCTCCACAGCATCACCTGCCTCCTCTACAATTCTAAAAATACAACAAAGTAAAGTAAATCCAGAACAGTTTGTTTGCTGGATTCATCAACCCATGAACAACTGGGGTCAATTTCAGGTGAGGTCTCAAAGGGGTAGCTCCTGGCTACCCCACTGACCAAAGTCCCTTCTCATGCTGTCCAGTGCAATTAGGTGAAAGTGTCTTGCCCAGAACCTAACCAGTCTATTTCTGCAATTCCCCAGAAATACAAAACACCAAGATGATAAGAAACCAAACCTGTCAATATCACTGAGGCTGATAAATGACTTCCATATTACAATTAATCTTTCAATGATATCTCACATTTTGTATTGTCATAAATTTTCTGTGAGCTTCTTTAAATATTCCTAATTAAAATGTCTATCGTATCAATGACACTATCTAAATAACTTAATGATAATGATTTATGCTACACATTTATATAATTTTTCTGTACTGACCTTTTGCGAAACTCAAAGACTTCTCTGTGGAGTTTTTCAGCAGCAGTAAACTGACTGTGATCCACCATCAAACAAGCTAAAGAATATTTCTCTTTCATCAGAGTTTTCTTGTCTTGAAGTTTCCCAGTTGCTAGGTTTTCCTCCTGTATAAGTGAAATGCTTAAGACAAGAACTTTTTCCTTTAACACATTTGATAACCTACACATTGTGCATCTAATCTAATTACATCTCCATTCACCGCAGTGAAATGTAGTACGCAAAACATTATACAACAACCTGAAGTCTACCCATATCTACATGTATCCACATTTGCCTTCACCTGGCTAAGCCTCTTCTTGATAAAGGATTTTACATACATATCTACATGTATCCACATTTGCCTTCACCTGGCTAAGCCTCTTCTTGATAAAGGATTTTACATACATATCTACATGTATCCACATTTGCCTTCACCTGGCTAAGCCTCTTCTTGATGAAGGATTTTACATACATATCTACATGTATCCACATTTGCCTTCACCTGGCTAAGCCTCTTCTTGATGAAGGATTTTACATACATATCTACATGTATCCACATTTGCCTTCACCTGGCTAAGCCTCTTCTTGATAAAGGATTTTACATACATATCTACATGTATCCACATTTGCCTTCACCTGGCTAAGCCTCTTCTTGATGAAGGATTTTACATACATATCTACATGTATCCACATTTGCCTTCACCTGGCTAAGCCTCTTCTTGATAAAGGATTTTACATACATATCTACATGTATCCACATTTGCCTTCACCTGGCTAAGCCTCTTCTTGATAAAGGATTTTACATACATATCTCCACACATGATATCCACATTTGCCTTCACCTGGCTAAGCCTCTTCTTGATGAAGGATTTTACATACATATCTACATGTATCCACATTTGCCTTCACCTGGCTAAGCCTCTTCTTGATAAAGGATTTTACATACATATCTACATGTATCCACATTTGCCTTCACCTGGCTAAGCCTCTTCTTGATAAAGGATTTTACATACATATCTACATGTATCCACATTTGCCTTCACCTGGCTAAGCCTCTTCTTGATAAAGGATTTTACATACATATCTACATGTATCCACATTTGCCTTCACCTGGCTAAGCCTCTTCTTGATGAAGGATTTTACATACATATCTACATGTATCCACATTTGCCTTCACCTGGCTAAGCCTCTTCTTGATAAAGGATTTTACATACATATCTACATGTATCCACATTTGCCTTCACCTGGCTAAGCCTCTTCTTGATAAAGGATTTTACATACATATCTACATGTATCCACATTTGCCTTCACCTGGCTAAGCCTCTTCTTGATGAAGGATTTTACATACATATCTACATATAAATTAAAATGAGACTCTGCTGTATTTCTTTTATTTATAACCATTATGCCTCTAGAATGACTAAATGAAAAAATTAGTTTCATAATTCTTTTATAAAATCGAAACAAATGCAAGATTCTGTTTATCATATAAAGTAGGTACTTTAATGCATGAATAATAGTGAAATTTTACACCAGAATCTAAAGTGGAAATATTTTCATTCAATACTTCTTTCTTTGGTAACGTCACAATGCTTATGACATCATGAAGTTATGACATCACAATAGAAACAATGCAAACATTCAGTCAATCATAGCTGTGCTAAGTCATGTTATTCATGTGTGATAGCAAAAAATATGTAATGTGTGTTATTACACTGATAACAAGGAAACCATCAGATATTTATAGAATTTTACATCGGAGCCGTTTGATATATAAATTGATATATATATATATTTTATTTCATTTTAGCTAGCCTTTGGTGGGCTAAAACAAAAACTTTTTTACAAACATATATAACATATCAAATGGAAACAAGTTTAATATCCTTTTTATCATCATCAATTTTTGTATATTTTGGTGCTTTAAACCTGTGTGGAGTTCAATAGAAATCAGTCAAGAAGAGAGGCCACTAGAAAGCTGACAATGATCTTCTAAAAATAGAAAGTGACACTGACCTTGACCCAACAACAACTTATAAGAAGACAGTCTATAGTATTTCAATTGATGTGTTTTGATAATATTTCTGATGGTTCCTCTTCAAGGGGAATTTTTCTTTGTACTTACACATAATTTAATGTGGTACTCCATAATCATTTTTGCTGCATGGAAATCTCCAACTTCTAAAAAGAAATTTTGCAATGTCACCACCGTATCTAGGATCTGAAATTATATAAATTTTATTTACTGTTCAACAATTGAAAAACAGGTTATACTAATTTATATTAAACACTCTTTATGGCCCTTATAAAAACATGGGTCTTCCTTTAAGAGTAAACCGAAGCATATAGAGAAATGGGGTCAGGCAGGTGAACTCATATAACTTTTCACATCAGATCATTGAATCGAACCCCAGATGTTGCATGAGGTGAAAGATGAGTGTGTTGTTCACTCAACCACTCTTAAATCACATTATTCAAGGTGACATTGCTTATTATAATATAAGTGTGACAGCTAAGGCTGCCTGTTTTAGGCAAATGGAATCAATGGTCTCAATTTCACCATTAGTTTACTATATCAAAAAACCTCTTGTAAAATTTATTGCAACAAGAAAATCAAAGAATGAATTTTGATATGATTGTGTATCAGGATGCTCGAATTTGGAGGCCATAGAAACTAAGCATTTAGATATTCAGTAATTAAAATCAAACTGTGGGACGGCAACACGGAGTCCATCTAAAAATTTTCATTTTAGTTTTCTTTCCAACTCAAGTAGGAAAGGAAACCAATTTTACAATACATTTACTAAAATTATACCATATAATAAGCCTGTGGAGCCTACAAATGAACTTCTGACTTAAACTCAGGGGTTGGGCTTATTACAGGACCACAGGGGCTAATATATGTATTTCTGAATCAAAGTCCTTTGATGGACTTATTACAGGACCTCAGGGGGCCAACACATGTACTTCTGACTCAAAGTTATGGGGTGGGCTTATTTTAGGACAACGAAATAGTATTTGTTTGAATTTTTGTGGGAGAGCTAATTGTCATATTGGCTTTATTGATAGACAGGTGTTTATCAATTTCTTACTTCTTTACACACAACTTCCCTCCCCCACCCCCTCCCACCCTCCCTAATCTTACCCTCACCCCAGCGGAGTCACTGTCCATTAAATTCTCCTCCTCTATTTCTATGTAACTGTTGACTACTGTTTGCTTTAGAGCATCAATGTACCGCTTGGCCACCTCTAGCCATGGTAGACCAGTCACCTTCCAAAGTTCTATAAGGTACAGCCCTCCATCCCTGTATAACAAAATGATACACTTGCTTTAGATTAGTAAGTAACTACATACCTGAAATAAGTTAGATTTAGCATAACCAGTTATAATAGTAGTTATCTCAATTAGCAACTCTTTTGAAAGGAAGGTGATTTTAGACATATCAATGGGGCAACTCTGTACTATCAAGCATAAAGGCAAATATCAAAGTGCTTGTTTGTGCTTTTTTAACATTATCTTGTTTTGTTCAGATGTAAGCGATTTTAGCAAGAAAAGACTATTTATACAGGTATTTTACACAAAGAATTAAGAAGCTTTGAACAATTTACAGATATTTTCCTTAATTTAGTTTGAAATAAGTCATGTAATCTCCATCCTCTGATTGCAATGAGATTCTATTCATTCTGAGATTATTTTAAGAAGTTGAATTGTTGATAGATTTGATTTTTCTGATTTCATGATTTCCACTGCTTGATAAAGTGGTAAGCCCCTGAAATTTTGTGGTATGTTGATGAGATTTTAGCATTCACACGAGATTCAATGAAGGGGAATAACTCCACCTTAAACTTCGATGGCTCCATTTTATTGTTTGTGTATTTCAGTGACTACAAATAACCGTTATATCAGAAGTACATGTACACGATATAAACCTTGAATATGTAGTAAAAATAATCAACCTAACAGTAGCAAGCTCTGTATGAGATTTTACAAATCAATATATCAGAATATAACAATAAATGTGGTTATTTTACAACTTACAGTACACCAATAATGAATTAAAAAAACTTGCTGCAAAAGATCAGCATCTCTAAAATTCACCAATTAAAAAATAGACCTAAACACAAAATGTATGCAATGTGTGCCTCATGAACGGAAAATTAAATCCCATGTTTTTCCTTTTAAAAAAATATCTCCAGAGAGAAAATTAAGTTTTTTCAACAAACACTTACGCATCCAGTAAAGTAAGTAGTAATTGTAAGTCCAGAAGGGCATCTGCTAGCCCCTCTAAGTCTCCCAGACTCTTCAGTAGGTATGGCAGTTCATAGGCTACCCGTGACTCAGTATAGCTCACTTTCTTCTTTCCAGAAAAATGTCCTGAACCCTGCAAGAGAAATTTTTTTACGGAAGATTGAGTTTTACAATTTTTCACGCAAGGCTAAATTTTAAGGAAAATGAAGGCAGATATACAAATAATATGCCAATAATACAACAAAATATTTTTCAGGGAAGATTTTTTTTTAAATTTTAAATAGATTCATTTTTAATGAAAAATGCAAGAGATGATATACTGGTTCAGGTTCTTAAACCATGCCAGAATTATACAAAAAATAGGTTTAAGAGGTGATGACATTAAACATTTTGGAATGCTCCACAGGGAAAAATGTAGGTGTGGTAGATATAAACAGGTAATAATGTGACATATCATCGAAAAAAAACTCATCACCTGTCCATTTCAACATGCACAATGGATTATCTCATATAAATTGAAATAAGCCTACAGGGTCAGAACATCAATTCTCAGTAGAAGTTCAGAGGTGGGCTTATTACAGGACAGTTATATAACATATATTGATAATTATGGAACAGAAATAGACATGGATGGGTGTAATGCCAAGTAATGGCTTATTTCTGACATCAACTTATTACAAGGACTGGGCTTATTACTAAAGTCTGCTAAAAACTTACTTTTCTATTTTTTTGAAAATAAGCAATAACCCTCTTCAAGTAGTATGACCTGTTAAAAATCAGAAAAAAAAATATATCATATGAGAAATAGAAAATCCTGATCATCAGTGATGGAATATATTACAAAGAAGAATGATTCTGGTACTAAAGTCCATTCAAGGCAATTTTGACACGAGTGTAAATATTTTTAACTGTTTCAACAAATTACTGGTGACACAAACTGGGGAGGTGGGCTTATTACAAGTAAATGATAAAATATTTATTGGTGTTTCTTATCAGACTGGAATAAGATCTGAGAGTGTTTATTACTAGGGATTGCCTTATTGCTGAATAAATATGCTACAGTCAAACCTGTCATAAAGACCACCTTTATATAAAGGCCACTTGCATATAAAGACCATTTTCTCTGCTCCTTGAGTGGCCACTATAGACAGGTTTGACTGTACTTACTTTGTTTCTGGTTTGTGTAGATATCTGTCATATATTGCTGTTCGGAGGTCGTTAAGTCCGATACTGCAAACAGACAACAAAAATATATCTGATCTAACATTGGGCATTTTATTAACAAAATCTGTATGCAATTCCATCGGCAAAGATAATTTTTTTCTATGTATATCAGTGTATTTTAACATGCAATGTGCCCTGTGATTCACTCCAGCATGTTCATTTAGATTTTATTTCCAGGAGTGTAAATACATTCTAGATCATAAAACAATAATATGAGGTCATTTTGGTGTCAAGTTAACCTACTCTATTCCAAGGCTTTGCTTGTTGCCTGGAATAACCCACAATATAGCTTTATATCAACAATAAGGATGATCATGACCTTCAGGAAAATCACTCAGTAATAAAAATACCTGGGAAAACATTTATTGCTTGATAAAATAGCGGAACACAATTATGAAACAGATTGAAACTGTTTCATGTTTAAATTATCAACATGCAAACCCCAAAAATATCCTTCTAGACTAATGGAATACATCCTAGATGTATTTTACAGACATTCTGTTGTAAAACTTTGTGACTTACTACAAATGCCCGGCCTGATCAATGATATAGTTTTCTACAGCAAAGTACAGTGGAGACCAGACTGGCCATGTGATTCCGTAAATCCCAGTTACCTCCCTTTCTGCCAAGCCCTGTCTACTGAGGTAGATGGAGCACATCACCTGTGGGACAAATTCTCTTCATAAACTTAACTTTCATAAATGGCTCAAACATTTCATCATTTGAAATGTATTATTAATTTGGTGTTATAGATGAGTTTTATCTAAAATGCCCATACACATTTTACATTGAATACATTAAGCAAACATAAGAAAGATCAGTACAGTGTTCATGGGACATCGAAAAAGCAGCTTAGAATACAACCAGAAAATCCAACTCAAGGAGCTGCTACTTTTCACAAGTACTGAGAACTTAGTATGTAGATAAAAACTTATACACATCAACTTTAATATTAGATGCTGGTTTTGAAATTTTGACAGCTTTTTTACTTTTAATCATTTTCTATCAAATCAAAAGTTCAATGATACACCCTCAATCACATCCTCCTAGAGTTCTAAGTATACATTACTAAATCCCTATGTCATCAGCTCCAACAGTACCCTCCCTCAGAGTTTGTGAACAGACCCTACAATTACTACTACATACTACTACAGACCTGTGTTACCTGATCCATCAGTCCCCTCCCCAGAGGTTGTAAACAGACCCTACTACTACTACAGACCTGTGTTACCTGATCCATCAGTCCCCTCCCCAGAGGTTGTAAACAGACCCTACTACTACTACAGACCTGTGTTACCTGATCCATCAGTCCCATCCCCAGAGGTTGTAAACAGACCCTACTACTACTACTACAATATATATTACCTGCTCCACAAGGTTTCCCTCATGTTCCGACACATTGTAGTCTTCCTCCAGCCTCTGTAGGACATTCCCAAATAAATCGTGGACACTATAACCAATCAGCATTCAAATCAGGTTTATTTTTACTTTATAGAAATAAACATTCAGTCATAAGCTCAAGCAGCCAACACATTACTTTTTACTGATATTCAAGTCAAGTGGTGAGCTTATTAATCAATAGATAAAATATTATACCACCTGTGTATATACTGTGAAATGGTCATTTTCGTGAGTGTTTTATTTTTGTTGATTTCATGGGTACTCTTATAATCCAAGAATTCACATGTCCATGAAATATCAAAATAAATATGAGTAGATTAATTGATCTATATTTATCCACAAAATCCAGACTTCATGGAACAGAATTGTATTGAAAAATCACAAAAATTGCACCCAAGGAAAACATGATTTTACCGTAAGTGGACAACTGTATAAAGATTGTTAGCCTGAGTCTACCCATGATTGTCATTCTTTATATAAACATACCTACAAGTCAACACAGAGGGATATTCCACTCACCATCTGAGGTCTTCTTTACAAAGCGGAGATAATTTAGAGATTAACTGTCCTTAAACTGTTTCCAATAAATTTTGATTTTGTTGTACCACATATATATGTTTTACAGGAGAAAAATGTACTTTTTTAACTCTGAAGCCTCGCCCTGTATTTGCATTGGAGGACAGTTGCAACTTGCAACATTGCTTCTTAATTCGATCAATTATTTATGAGTAAATTCTACATGCTGTTTCTCTCACCTTTGGCATGAAATAAGGGAATCTATCTTCTTGTCCAAGAGACGGAAGTAACCAAATGACACTAGCTCCTGTAGAAAATTAACATTTACATTGCTTCACATAAAAATAAAGAATAAAAAAGAAAAAGAAAAAAAATCTGAGTCTTCCTGAGGCAAAACATCTCCCCTACCTTCCCCCAAAAGCTACAGCACTCACAACAATTTTCTTAAAATAGAAACTGCGACTCAGTGATCTTGAAACTCGAACTCCTTCAAGGAATGAAGATACTAGAGCACTGATAATGATTTTCTTCTAGTAGCAGTGACCTTGACCTTAACCCAACAACCCAACTACAACTTGTCCAAGCAGTTCAATGCTAATATTTGTCACTCGTGGTTTTAAATCTAATTTCTCTATTTATTTATAAAAATAATTCATATTTTCCAGCTTGACGGCTATGAAACCTGTTAACAGACCTACTGTGTACTTCCGCATAAAAACAATAATGCACTGAATGATAAAATACACACCAAAAATTATCAATGTAATAATAATATTCAATAAACTTGAAAAAGAGGGCAACACAAATTACAATGTTAAATTCAATTTTCTTTTGTAAACAATAGTACATTCTTTTATTTTCTTGGAGCACACCGCTATTTTCACATTTGATATTGAAGAATAAAGTTAGCGTTACTTTTTTATTTTAATATACAAGTTGTTTATTAAATGCAAAAAAGCTATGTTTTCTACAATTGCATACACATTAAAATTATACACAACTGTTATTTCTTAAGATAACTGTACATGGGGAGGTAATCTCAATTTGTTTACATAACTGTTGAATTCACAGGCCAGCTGGCAGTTACGAGGTTATAACACGCAACTATTATTATTAATGTAATACAGTGGAAATGCCATAGAGTGGTGAATATAAAATTTTATCAACGAGCAATAAAACTGTAACAAAAGAGTTGCACACCATGCATCACCAAAGTATGACTGATGTATCCATCAAAGTTCATTAACCTGTTACGGACAAGAAAGGACAGACATAATGACAGACAACTATATGCTCTCCTGAAAATTTTTGTGGAACATCATGTCTCTAGTGCAATTGCTATAAAATTGTTGGGTTTATCATCCAGTTAACAGCCTTGGTTATTTTGAGGCAGGGTCTCCTTGCATAAGCTGGTGGCTACCCTCACTGAACAACATATGGGAGACTCGTCACATACCATTCAAAGAAACTAAGGTAAAGTGTCTTGTTCAAGGACACAATCATGTCAGCACAGACTGGTTGAGTAACCAACTTATAACTTTATCTTGAATGACCACCCTTCAAATAAAAAACTTTATCCAGAGTAATCACCCTTCAAACAAAAAATGCTATCATTAGTGACCACTCTTGAAACTTAAAACTTTATCTTGAGCGACCTGTAACCCTTCAAACAAAAACAATTATCTTGAGTGACCTGTGACCCTTTAAACAAAAAACAATTATCTTGAGTGACCTGTGACCCTTCAAACAAAAACAACTATCTTGAGTGACCTGTGACCCTTTAAACAAAAAACAATTATCTTGAGTGACCTGTGACCCTTTAAACAAAAAACAATTATCTTGAGTGACCTGTGACCCTTTAAACAAAAAACAATTATCTTGAGTGACCTGTGACCCTTTAAACAAAAAACAATTATCTTGAGTGACCTGTAACCCTTCAAACAAAAACAACTATCTTGAGTGACCTGTGACCCTTTAAACAAAAAACAATTATCTTGAGTGACCTGTGACCCTTTAAACAAAAAACAATTATCTTGAGTGACCTGTGACCCTTTAAACAAAAAACAATTATCTTGAGTGACCTGTGACCCTTTAAACAAAAAACAATTATCTTGAGTGACCTGTGACCATTCAAACAAAAATAATTATCTTGAGTGACCTGTGACCCTTCAAACAAAAAATTATCTTGAGTGACCTGTGACCCTTCAAACAAAAATAATTATCTTCAGTAACCACTCTTCTAATAAAACCACCTTTTCTGCAAACAAACTTTCCATCATCAATTTTACCACCATTGCTGTCATATGTACAACAGTATCACTAAACACAGATTTTTTATTTTGACTTCAGGTAAATCATATATACTTACATTAAGAGCAATTGTCAAAAACAGGGCAATCTCTGTCTGATTAGCATGTACAACTTTGTCAATCTGGGCTGGAGACAGCTGCTTTCCAGCTTTCTGTAGTGTTTTCTGCGAAATAGTAAGAAATTTCTACATGAAGAACAAAGTTACAAAACAAAATAGAAAAATTGGCAATGATCTTTAGTTATCAAAATTTTGCTTCAGAAACCAGTTCCATGTTTTTTAATTGCTTTTAGGCTATGCCTATCACTACTGCCTTGGTAGAAAACTACTATTTATTCTGCTATATGTTTGGCAGAGGGAAAGATTGTTTAGTTTGAGAATACTAAGCAAGGCTCAGTTTCGCCCACTAAAGTCCCCCCTTGAGATGAGATCTCTCCATTTCACTTTCAACAGGGTGTTTCCCAGAAAGGGTTTCAAAATATCAGCTAACTTTGTGAGCGTACCACACAGATTAAACGCCGATTTTCCAGATTTTGGGGAGGTAAGTCTATCACACTAAAGTTGCGACTTTCCAATTCCTTGACGATATCTTCATCTGTCTTTCTGGTGGAAACTACTAGTACAGATTGCTTTGGAAATTCTGGCAACCAATATACCGTCTGGAAAAGAAAAAACAATTGAAAACAAGATGCCGCAAAGCAAGGCATTATCCCCCGCGCACAGGTGTTGGTATGGAACCCAAATATGCTATATATAGCACTTTAATAATTTGAGACTTCACACACTTATGTATCAGTACTTTGCACGTGAAGGTCTATTACAGTGAAAGCACTAGTAGAAAATAATAAACTCACATCTCCTCAACTTCAACATTATAGATATATATATAGAGATATAATTGAAAATATAGAATCAACACAACAAATGTGTTTCAGTAACGTTTTCAGGCATAACAGCTATCTTCAGGCAACAAAAGATTTACTATGTAAGAGATGTAAAACATGTAATAATAATGATAATGATCACACAATGCCTTGAAGTTGTATCTCAGAAAAAGCCTTCTTTTGAGGTTTTTAACTATATTTTTGCAAAAACTGAAAAAATATCATAAAAAATGAAATGTTGTTAATAGCAAAAGGTTCAACTATGGCACTAAGTTAATATGTGCAGAAAGTTTTGTGAAGTTGAGTGGAACGGTTTGGAAGATATAGCCTGGAAAAGCCTCTTTTTGTGTTATCTGACTATGTTTCCATGGAAACAGAAAAAAAAATATATAAAGTGAAATGTCGACAATAGCAAAAGGCACAACTAGGGCAATGATTTAATATATACAGAAAGTTTTGTGAAGTTGAATTGAATGGTTTCGAAGTAATAGCCCAGAAAAGCCCTCTTTTGGTGTTTTCTGACTATGTTTCCATGGTAACAGAAAAAAAAATATAAAAAGTGAAATGTCGACAATAGCAAAAGGCACAACTAGGGCAATGACTTAATATATACAGAAAGTTTTGTGAAGTTGAATTGAACGGTTTCAAAGTTATAGCCCGGAAAAGCCCTCTTTTGGTGTTTTCTGACCATGTTTCCATGGTAACAGAAAAAAATATAAATAGTGAAATGTCGCCATTAGCAAAAGGCACAACTAGGGCACCAACTTAATATATATAGGAAGTTTTGTGAAGTTGAATTGAACGGTTTCGAAGTTATAGCCCGGAAAAGCCCTCTTTTGGTGTTTTCTGACTATGTTTCCATGGTAACAGAAAAAAATATATATAGTGAAATGTCGCCATTAGCAAAAGGCACAACTAGGGCACTAACTTAATATATATAGGAAGTTTTGTGAAGTTGAATTGAACGGTTTCGAAGTTATAGCCCGGAAAAGCCCTCTTTTTGTGTTTTCTGACTATGTTTCAAGGGATCTAATCATGACTGATCATTTCACAGTATTAAGCCTACATTAAGCACAGGTTCCAACATATATTCTCTGACTGAAAGTCAGGGGGTGGGCTTATTACAGGACAACACTGTAGCTGATTTAGGAAGTGTTTTCCTGAAATGTCCAGCTAAGAAGAAAGATGTTGTTGTTGAAGGTGTCTGTACATGCTGCTTGAAGCTTTTTCATAATCAGAAGGCACTTTCAGTGTCATAAACATTTATCCTCAATTTTAAAACATCTACATTTCCTAAAAACTTGAGAAAGGTTGTCAAAGGTTTCCCCACTGTTCATAAGTGGCTATTCTTCAGTAGCATTGATAACACATCAACATGCTACTTGCCTATCAATGATGAGGTTTCTGTTGGAATTTCTGATGATGAAATGACCACACTTATAGACGGGTTTATTATCAGGCATGGATTCATAATGTTTTCATATGCTGACAAAGAGAGAAAACTATTACAGAAAGAAGAGTTTTACCTTTTCAGCTTTGGAAGACTTCTTCACATTGCCCAGACCATCAATGACTACCACCGGTTGTTTACCAAGTGATGTTAGCTTTTCCAGGACAACAGACAATTTCCTCATCAGCTCCCGCACTTCATCATAATCTGCTTTCTGTGACTCAACTTGGCTGTTACCCTCAATTCCTTTCAGCTCGTTATATTTTTCTTCCAACTCTTCTGTTACCCTTGTTAAGATATTCTGAATCCCTGGATATACATACAGAGGTGGCCATTATATGCAGGTTGTTGTAATATACAGGGGTATAATTATAAAGATATTGTTCTGTTGAGGTGGTCATCATATACAGGTGATTTTTATACATATGATATTGTTAAACACATTGTTCAGTTGATGTGGCCCTTATATATGGGTGGTCTTAATACACAAGGTACAATTACAGATAATGTTGTACGCAGAAGAGGTCATCTTGAAAATGATTTTATGTACTGGGTAATGTTACAGATATTGCTGAAATATTGAGATGGTCTTTCTGCACATGTGGTCTTTATACACAGGTGGTCTTTCTACACAGCAAACTACGGTATTAAACAGAGATGGCGAGTTAACAAAGGTGATATGATAAATTAATGTTGGATGTACATGCTGTCAAACTTACTCCCACTGTCCCTGGCACATCCTACAAAGTGGTGTACAACACAACAATGGCTGTAGGCAGGATTCTTCATCAATCTATGGATCCAGTTACATATCAGGGCTGATTTACCACAGCCAGCAGGTCCAGTGATCAGGTAGGGAACAGGATCTTCTAAATAGGATAAAAATATCTATATATATGTCAAATTTAGGATTTGTTTGTGAGCTGGATTTATCAACCCATCAACAGCCAGGGTGATTTTGAGGCAGAATTTTCCTGTAGAAGCTAGTAGGTACGTTATTGAACAACATACTGGAGGCCCCTTGCAGTCCACCCGGAGCAATTAGGGTAAAATGTCTTGCCCAGGGTCACAACATAGACAGTACAGGTCAGTCTGCTTTTCAGCTTCCCGAGAAACACACACTGCCATGCATGGGGATTGTCAAACCATACACCTCTTATCTTCAACTTCATGTGTGGTTTGATGAACACAACTTTTACATTCTAGATGTAAGACATAAGACTAAATTCAACATTTACCATATTTTAATCAAAATATAGAAAACTGTTACATATATTTTAGTCAGAGGTTCCCAGTCATATCTCAGATCCCTGTTCTATGTTATAATACATAAATTAAAGCAAAATCATTTCTTTTTGTGGGACTTGATTTTCATGGTTTATCAAAACCATTATTATTCATCGGCATTTGATTTAGTGGATAATCAGTACTCATAAATTTTACTTAAATTAATGTTAATTGCCTTTTTTGTGAGCAGAACAGTTTATGAATCTAAAGATTACCTACAAAATCAGTGAAAATAAAATTTCCACAAAAATTCATGATTTTACAGTCCCTGTTATAATCTGAATTTGACATGTTATTTGTATCAATCAGATTACCTGCATCAACATTTTGGGTAAGCTGTGTGATATAATGGTCCCCGCCCTCATACAGCTTGACCTTGTTAGCAAGGAAGGCACTGTGGAGGGACTTTGCCAGCATGCGTCGATCTTCCTGTACCACATGTACACTGCTGATCATCAGATACTTCGTCAGGTGTTTGTGAATGGCATTAAACATGAGCTCTGCACCCTTGGTAATAAAAAATAAATGAAATTACACAATCAAGTATTCCTTTAAAAAATGTTCAAGTTTTTCTTTAGTTTCTCAGTTTTAATCAACAGTCAAAATACAGATTCAAAATTTGTTAAAAATTTTCAGCCCAAGTAAAGTAAAGGCCCCAAGGTTTCCCTCAATGAAACATATATAGCTAGGTAGAAGGTAGTGTGTGTTTTTCTTAATGGCTTGATTCAGGAATTAATATGAGTCAGACGAAATGTGCTAGCCCAGGTTATAAATATAGATAAACATTATTTATTTTGAAACAAAACAAGCCTACAGTCTACATTCGTCACTCTGTTGGCCCAGGTCGAACATGTAAGGGGTTGTAATGTGAGAGGATATTGAGTACCCAGGGAAAATCCACCTTGCCAGGCAGGTGACTTTGCGTGGGAAATCAAACCCTGGTCAACTAGCAATTGGTGAAAAGTGAGTGTGTTACCACTGCACTATCTCACCATAACATCACAGACATACAGGATTAATGAAATCTTGCGTAACTTTTTAATTGCTGATAAATGGATTTCTAATGGTCATGTTCTTAGCCTGATTCCTAAACTGATTAAGAAGTAAAGTTACCTCTTTGGGATTTTTGTAACACAAGTTGACACCCAAGGTCTGAAATAAAACAAAAAAAAACAAAATTCAGAATACACATACAATGATAAATTTAAACATAATTTGATTTAATATGCATAATGATTGCAATTGAAACAGATAATTTTCATATGACTTTGTTGTAGGTCTATTTTGATAATATATTAAAACACTTCAAAACAAAATAGAATTATCAAATTATTTTAATGTAAAATAATTACCCAACCTACAAATATCTGGTAGGACTTATTTCAAATCAAGGCAGAAAAAGTGTCTTGTCAGTCACCAATTAAAAAGGCCTTTCAATCAAATTATATAGTTATTACATTTGTTGTGTGATGATATTGAAATGCTTTTGTTTAAAGATTACCCGTAGTTTAGCTTCCAATAACTTATTTACTTTTTCTAATTCTGATCAAAGTTAATAAAAAAATTATTTAATCCAAACATTTTGTTTTTTGAAATCATGAGCATGCCAAAGTATCAATTAAAAATTACTTCATCTGACAAACTCAAATAAGTTGTAGACCCTGTATTTGACACTTGAAAATTCCAAAGTCAACTTATCTTTCCTCAAAATGTAGAGAGTCTAAACTAATATCACAAACACATATTTTGAAATCAGAAGTCAACAGAAATTTTGGGACTTCTAAAACAGGAAATTCTGTAAGATATATGTATAAATTTCTACTATTGATAATGTATTACCAAACTTTCTGTATCCATACACCTGCGTTTCAGGTCATCTAACATCGCAACAGATTGGTCACTCTCTGGAGAGTATTTAAACACCATCTTCTTGTCTCCTTTCTTCTTTGCCTCCTCACAGATTTTAGCATCATAAGCCTATTAAATAAGTTTATATATAGATATTAATGCTGCAACCAATCATATATACAGGCACTACCAGAGAAAATGTGTTTCATAAGACAATGAATGCAATGGTATGAGTGTTATTTTGATGCTTGCCCCGGTTATATATACATATATTGTATCAATGTGCTTATGGAAAAAAAAACAAGGGAAATTACAATTTTTTGCAATTGAGCAATTTCCAGCTTACAGTATTTGAGTGACCTCTATGAATATTCAGGAGTGTTTATTATCAAATGAAAATATATTAAACTTAATGAAAACAGACATAAATAGTATGCATATTCCTTTATCTAGATATCAGATGATAAAGCAAATGGCTAGAAATCCAAATAAAACAGCATTTTTCATATAAAATTATTTAATGTTAATCACTTCGAGTGGGTTTTATTTTCCCATTTCTATGCCAGGAGAATCAACAGCAAATTTAAATCCCTTGTGATTATTTGTACGAAAAAATAAGACTGAATGGCATCTATGTTGCTTCACTTACTGATATTGGAATCTTGAAGAATCTTGGTCTATAATAGCTTATCATCATAAATTTTAAGTCATTTTAGATCAGCATTCTTAAGGATGTATTCCTCTGACAATTGATCAGAAGAATTAATTCCAGCATAATATCTTGGACTTTAGTGGTCTTATTCATTTTGTTATTTATAAGTGTTCTATTGTCCATCCTCCATAATATGTCTGTATCACTGTAATCACTCACTGTTGTATTATTATATGTTGTAACTATTTATGCTGATGAATGTCTAAAGGCCAAAAAAACTGTTAAAGTTATTAAAAGGGCAATTTCTATGACATTTAGAAGAAATATACCTTGTGGACTACTTCTTTTGAAAGTATTTCAGCTTGTTTCTTGATCCTAGAAAAAATGGCTATTTGGGTGAAAATTTCAAAAATTAAAGCACAGAGACCTTTTCTGTTTTCATTGTGAAAAGTATCCTCAAAAATTTCTCCATCCTTACATTAAGTCTACAACAATGTTCCGCACTAGAATATGTTCAGATAAAGAATTTATATCATTTTCATTTTTTTGGTGGCTATGCAGTTTATAGCTTGTTATATCAAATGAAAACTTCACATTATTTTTCTCTTAATATCCAAGTATTATATCTTTACCTTGTAATGAAAGACAAAAAATTATTTATTGCCTGTAAAATAACAGTGAACATCTGTTATTCAGGAAAAAAAATAAGAACATGAATTATTTCCTGTTACACATATTCTGATGCCTGTACCGGACAAAGTAGTGCAGCAACATATTTATTTTTTTGCTTTTAATCTGCTTTCTAAAATCAAACCTTTCACAAAAACATCATCAGAAAAAAATATTGTTTTAAATTTCTCAGAGGACTGCAGTGTACATCCTTAAGAGTTCACGACAAACAGTATTCTGAAAATCTAAATGATTAACAGTATGTCTCTGTTTACTTCAGATATCAGTATTAAAGTGATATTTATATATCAACAATGAAACTGCTTCTTAAATCCAATCTTAAATGCAAATAACAAATAATTTCACCATTTGAAGTAATGATGCAATGCTATTTAGTTTATACAGATTTCCCACACATGTTATTTTAATTATTGACAATATGTGTATCAGGATATTTTGCCCCCTTTAATTTTCACCCTTTTTGCCCTTGAAAGGAACTGGCAAATTCAAGATGGGGATGAAAATTTGCTATACTTATATAACCCTTTTATATAATCTTTATAGGGTGATATGATTATGACACAAATTCATATATAATGGTACAAAAGTGAAAATAACATAGGAGAGAAAATTATGCACTATACAGTCATAAAAATCAAAATATCTTGTAAGATGTTCCCATTTCTTCCTGTAATGAGCCTGAGCAGGAGGGGTTAGGGAGGTGCTAACCTTTAAACATGTTATCTCTAATTTTGTGTTAAGGAGTTACAACCTATTATTTTAAGAATAATAACCAACAAATAATCTTATAATATCCTTAATAATAATAAGCGCATCCCCTATCTTTGAGTCAGTAAAGAAATTCAGTACTAAAAGCATTCAATAATCTAGGGGGGGGTCTACAAATTACAATAATTGTAATTCAGCGTCAATGAATGGGCTTATTACAGGATTAAGATAAAGTATTAATGGTATTTCTTATAAAACTGTAGTCGGCATGTTGGGCTTATTACCAGGGATGTGCTTGTTGCCAAATAAATATGGTAATGTACAATCTGCAAATCCTTAGTACCTCGTCTCTAAAACAGATGTATGCTGGCAGGGCCCCTGGATTGTTGAGGTGTCCGTGTAGAAACTCCAACTCAGTCACGCTTTTGTCACGGACAGAGGACACCCATGGATAAGTATTAGCTGCATTGTCAAAGTTTTCCTGGAGGGCACTGTCATCAGATCCATGCCATCCATACCTCTGTTTGTAAAAACAAACTATATTTAGAATCTACATGTATATTTCACATGCTAAAAAATGTGTAATACATCTAGATAGTAGTGCACGATGCATAATATACTTGTACCTTAGAAGTGTAGTGTATACACACTGTAGGTCAACTTATACATACATGTATATATCACGTGAATAAATCTTAGTTAGCGAGAACTTCCCTATAATAGAGCAGTAAAGTATTTGCTTTAAGAGGAGGGGGGTCACTTTAAGCGCTGTGGAAACTCTTTTAAAAACTACCGCAAAGTTAAGACCACCTTGCTGTTAAGTCCATTTTTGTGCTGTCCCCAAGGTGGTTTCACTATCGTTCCAGTCCAGGAGGGAGAAACTCTTTCCCATTACATATTTGGTACTATTGAAAGAAGCATAATCTAATATAGTTTGTCACCTTCCTGTTAATGTTTATCATTCATTTATCGACAGATGTCACATACAAAGATCAATACACTATATAAGTACTTTTGTATATGTAGAAGTGTACAGTATCGATACTTGCCTGTCCAAAGAACCCGATGAACATGTCCGATCTGTCGAGCTCCTTGAGACATATATTGATGACCTGTGCGCTGGCCGAAGCCTCCGATGTGATACCCCATCTCATGTCGACAGCCACGAACTGGACACCTCGGGAGTTACAAATATGGTTAATGTGGGGGAAGTAGCGTCGTGTTAGCTCTTCTCTCTCCTCCTCCATCCCTCCAAACGGAGACGAGAAGAAGATCCGCAAGGTGCTCGGATCTTTAAGCTTTTTCTGGTAATTTGTCATGATCAAAGTTTTTCTAATTTACATATATAAATACCTGTACCTAATTTTTCCAAGTCGAGTATCAATGTTTACTTCTACATGCGTACATTAGACGTATGAGATGTTAGGACATCGATACCTTACCAACCGATCACATAATTTTAACAAATAACAGCGAACGTAAACAAAATATTCTCGCGTCTAATACAACCAACTGAGTAGCACTTGAAGCGAGTCAAATTAATTTTGTTAGAGTTATGTCCCTTTAGCCATATGTTCGGCATTTTGCATTTTTCCTGAAATTACTGGTCATGGTTGAGATATGCAGGTAAAGTAGATATGTTAGGAAAAATACACCCCTACATGTTTATATATATATACATATTTATGAACTACATAACAATTACATTAAAAATCAAGGATTAAAAATTGTTGAAATAAAAAAAAATCCCTTGATTTCTGACATGTGATTGCCATGTTTACCACCTCAAAATGCAAGAAATACTTTTAATTCGAACCTAACACTGCAATTCTATAGAAGAAATTTATTTCTGAACGCCTGTCTTTAAATCAAACAACGCTAACAAGGTAACTAACTACTTTAATTTCAGTAAATTCCAACTTGAAACGCCTTGAAACATGACCAAATATAAAGACTATGGAAATTTCATTTCCTGTAATGCACGTATTTTGTGTGTAGACACAGATTCGAGACTGCCCAGTAATCTCCAACACAATGTAAAAACGTTATTCTGAAAAAAGAAAAACCCACACTGTCCACCTCAACATGACAGAACCAATTTTAGCAAGGATTTAATTCTGAATATTATTTTTAAAATATCACTCATTGCCACTCCGAGAAACTGAGTACTGCTGAAACAGTGATGTTAAAGACCTGAATTTCGAAACTTCAGACGCGACTATGCTTAAATCCAAAGTGATCGAAGAATACTTTATCTAGAGGATGAGGGAAAGGAAGAGATTTAGCTCCACAGTTGAAGAAATTTTGTAATTTCTTATACCTAATGATATCACTTACTTCACAGGAATATATCCTTTGTTGAAAATTTGTTTAGATCGGCTACTGATATTTTTATCTGAATTCTTTTATCAGCCGTTTACATCGATAATTTCCTACAAAATAAAACATACAGGGACAGCTTTCCAACCAACTGTAATGATGATAATATATAAATATATTAAGAGTGGTTATTTAGATCTGCGATTGTGAATTTTCCCTTTCGAGATAGAAACCTTCCTGCATCTCAACCCTATGCTGCTCACATGTCACGTTTGAATCTTAATTCAATTACTTGATCCCGATATCACGATTTCCATACAAGATGTCGACAACTAACAATGTAATTCACAACCTTTGATTAATAACCATGCTCTTGTTTGTGAACGTGTCATTATATCCGTTTGGAGCTGGTTATTTGAGGCACCACTGCAGATTCCGTAGTGTAATAATTACTATACATCGTTACATACACTGGGCGTATATTGAAATATGAAACCGCTTAAAATATTTTAACAATACAAGATAGAGATCATGGATAAAAAAACAAGATAAAGAGAAAGGGTGATAGAGGTTTCTGCCACTCTCTAATGCTTCAAGTACCCGATCTTCAAGTGTTGTCTGCAGTGATGAATACGCACCATATGAGGCAATATAAATCCCCCGGCATAACTATGCAGGGTTCAGTGATTTCTGAGTGCACATTTCTTATATCTTTAATTTGCACACGTGTGATTAGAGCCTGTACCGATCATGAATTTGAATAAAAAATACAGTTTATGTCTAAACAAGAATACAATTTTGGAATTATCTGTAACAGGAAACAATTAATTTGCATTTTTTCCTGAAATCACTGGTCCCGACTGAGATGTACAGGTATAGCATTTTGTTTATGAGAAACACATCCTAACATTTAGATATAGTTATAAAGTATATAACAATTACATTAGTAACAGAGAAATTTTAAAAAAAAATGTAAATCAAAAACAGAAGCGAGGATGCACCATTTTCCTAGTGAAACAAAACATAATTGTTGGATATTGTATTTCGGTGCATTATGTAACTGGTTTCGGACTCATAAAGATTCGTATTTCGTTAGCTTTTAAGCTACAAAATTCTATAAGGCTTTTTCAATTTTGCAAAACAATATCCATAGATACAACTTCAAATTCGCTCACTTGAAAATGGAGAGTATTTATTTCGAAAATTCGACTGCGTGTCTGTTTAGCATCATGCTCAGACAAGACACAGAATCATCGTCAGAACGGGTGTGGTATTTCCATGTAGTATTTTTATAAACAAAACCATTGTACACGTTTTTTGAAGGGTATATATTTCAGTTGTTATGGTTTGGTCTTATTTTTTCGAATAATTCATATTTCTTAGTTAACCTTTTTTACACCGCAAACCGTACAAATAATTTTTCATCTGTCCATCTAAAACTCCATAGTTAATTCAAAAAAGGAAAACCGGAAGTGCTCGGATAGGTCGTACCCATTGAAGTCTGCTTGCCCACGTGAGCGAGTGCTTTACCAGCCTACAGACTGCCTATTACTGAATGATACGTAGCTTTGAATGGCAGTCCCCACAGACCTCCATGGTCTACCGAACGCTTTAAAATGATTTGGTGCTATACTCTAGCCTAAAGAAATTTGGTGGACGGTAGCTTGCAGTATTGGTCTGATGAAAGCTTTAATGGAACATTGATCTGGCAACTGCTATAGCTTTAAGCATTGTGGTAGTGAACACAAGTTTACCAATTTGACTGCGAGCTTGATTTAGAGAATGTCGAGTTTTCAATACAGAAACGGTGTGGTGAACGATAGTTGGCAAAACTGATATGAGAACGCTATGATTTGGTCTTTTGGATATTATCTTGCCGACTTGTGAACATGAGTGTAACAAACACTATAACTTGCAATCTTGCTATTGAAAGCTAACTTGTTGCAGCCTTGTTGTCTTGGGTAACCTTTAACATGAAGACTTGATAGTCTATAGAGTACGAATGCTAGGTTGCATATAGAGAAATGAACGTTAACCACCATGCCTGATCCAGTAAATACTAAATAACAGAACTGATCTAGTGAACGAGAGTTTACACTGTTGGTCTGTGCATTTAACGTGTTCTCTGGGTTGGTTTCAAGTTATCCCCCATGTCCGTGTCTTCCTATCACTTAAGCATCATCTCGCCGACGAGCGTCTGTGTTCTGGTGTGACGGTGTGGTCATCAGCCCCTACAGGGGATGGAACCATCTGCACTGATGTATTCAAATCGTATAACTTTAGAAGATGGACGCCGGTTCTAATTCTGCTTTAACTTATTATTGGCGAATATGTTGATAATCGCCGAGCTATATAAAATATTCAAGTACTGATTTGAAAGAGGAGGACCAAGACGTTGGTCTCGTTCAATATGCTTGCATTTTTGATCATTTGAAAAGTTTAATAATCTTCGTATAAAAAACAAGACAGTATTTTATCTAAAAAGAAACTAACTAGCTAACTTGAAAAAAGATCTGTGTAATTATGCCAATGATTTGACATCGACATCTATTTTCTGTGATTATTTTCCAAAATTTTGAAAATATCCATTTTAAACATAACCCAAGAGACCTAGACACATGTAATGTCTTATATTCCACGATTCTAACTGTAATTGCCTTGGTGTATTTCATCCGAAGAGCTTCAAAACATTTGATACACAAAAATAACTTATCAACGTTATCGACGTCCTGCTTTCAAAACCTATATAAATATACGGTTTACTAAGATGGTAGACCGTTTGATTGCACCAGGAATCGAACCTACAACTCCAAGCTTCGTGTAGGCAGGGACCTATATATTAACGTCCCTGGTGTAGGCAAGTCTAATCGAAAACTTTCATATGGGCAATTATAATCCTATGTATGTGATTGCCGGCTGGTTAAATTATCTCCTACCTAGTTACTACTCCATCCATTTTTGGTCAGAAAACTTTATTTGTGAAACAATCTGTCTTTTCGCCAAAAAAAGCATAAATTTTGATAGGCTTATAAAATGTATTACTTGTAGTATCCACATTTTCATCTGCTATTCAAAATAACACCGAGGGGATTTCAACAAAGTATATATTTAATCATTCAATCAGTGCAACATCCCTATAGAACATTTTAATCACAGAAATGAGATACCTGTGTGTGTGTGGTGACAAAGATTCGGTCTTTGATATAGACAATAAAAGAATCTTTGACACTGTATGTAATTACACAAAACATGAGTAAATTAAACGTCTGGGACAGAGGTGTGCACCTACTGCTATCGTGAACGATCACCAGCAAAAACAAGTCGTCTTTCTGTTTTAAAATGCGGCGTTCCGTCATAATCTTTCAAATATCAAAAACATTTCCGTCTGAGAGCCTCCGATGAAGTTAAGGGCATGGGATAACACTGATGTCCCGATAAATGAATTCATCAAAATAAGGCCGCCATCATTTTCCTGGGAGTTCTACCAAGGGAGTTAACTCTGCATGCAAATAATGGCAATGCATGGTTTAGCCGTAGGGCGTGAAGCGAAGGGAGACTCGCGATATCAAACGACACGTGCATATCAGACAGCATTCTGATGTTCCAATGGGAAAATGATATAACGAGGAAAAATCGAAACAGTGGTTATTCAGGAACATGTGAAAACAACGGGTATTTGTTGACTCCAATTCAATAACACTTAACAATAACAAACCATACAATAGCACAGTCTGTTCTAGAAAGCACTATCGCTACGCAAGTTCGAATATTTTGAAAAACCGTACGATGTGAAGTTGGAGATTTTGATCACACCTTGATAAATGAAAGATATTCAAGATCGGTTTTACTAGAATTCATATTTTATGTTTTTCGTCTACTATTGAGGACGTATTGTGACTTAATAGTTTGGCACGTCAATGGACATTCTTACAAATAACGTGATTGAGCAAAATTATACTTCGTATATCATGACAGATCTCATGGCTTCTGCCAAAATGAATCGACTAGATGGCAAGACTAAACTGTGAAGTCATTTATATTGTATTAGGTTCGAGCTGCTGCTCTGTAGTGCTTTGTTCGCAGTCGTTGTATTATTGTTAAATGTTCACGGCTGTTTTGTTGTGGTAAGTTCACGGTCATTGTTCTGTTGTGGTAAGTTCACGGTCATTGTTCTGTTGTGGTAAGTTCACGGTCATTATTCTGTTGTGGTAAGTTCACGGTCATTGTTCTGTTGTGGTAAGTTCACGGTCATTGTTCTGTTGTGGTAAGTTCCCGGTCATTGTTATGTTGTGGTAAGTTCACGGCAGTTGTTCTGTTGTGGTAAGTACACGATCATTGTTCTGTTGTGGTAAGTTCACGGTCATTGTTCTGTTGTGGTAAGTTCACGGTCATTGTTCTGTTGTGGTAAGTTCACGGTCATTGTTCTGTTGTGGTAAGTTCACGGTCATTGTTCTGTTGTGGTAAATTCACGGTCATTGTTCTGTTGTGGTAAGTTCACGGTCATTGTTCTGTTGTGGTAAGTTCACGGCAGTTGTTCTCTTGTGGTAAGTTCACGGTCATTGTTCTATTGTGGTAAGTTCACGGTCATTGTTCTGTTGTGTTAAGTTCACGGTCATTGTACAGTTATGGTAAGTTCACGGTCATTGTTCTGTTGTGGTAAGTTCACGGCAGTTCTGTTGTGGTAAGTTCACGGTCATTGTTCTATTTGTTTTAAGTGCACGGTCATTGTTCTGTTGTGGTAAGTTCACGGTCATTGTTCTATTGTGGTAAGTTCACGGTCATTGTACAATTGTGGTAAGTTCACGGTCATTGTTCTGTTGTGGTAAGTTCACGGTCATTGTTCTGTTTGTTTTAAGTGCACGGTCATTGTTCTGTTGTGGTAAGTTCACGGTCATTGTTCTATTGTGGTAAGTTCACGGTCATTGTACTGTTGTGGTAAGTTCACGACAGTTGTTCTGTTGTGGTAAGTTCAAGGTCATTGTACTATTGTGGTAAGTTCACGGTCATTGTACTGTTGTGGTAATTTTACGGTAATTGTTCTGATGTGGTAGGTTCACGGTCATTGTTCTGTTGTGGTAAGTTCACGGTCATTGTTCTGTTGTGTTTGGTTAAAAACATTCCCCTGTTGTGATATGTTAACAGACATTGTTGAGTTCTGTTGCGAAAAAATCATGACTGTTCTGTTGTGATAAATTCATGACCATTGTTCTGTTGTGGTAAGTTCACGGCAGTTGTTCTGTTGTGGTAAGTTCACGGTCATTGTTCTGTTGTGGTAAGTTCACGGTCATTGTTCTGTTGTGGTAAGTTCACGGTCATTGTTCTGTTGTGGTATGTTCACGGCAGTTGTTCTGTTGTGGTAAGTTCACGGCTGCTCTTCTTTTGTGATAAGTTCACGGCCGTTATCTTTATGACCGTTGTTCTGTTGTGTCAGGTTCGTAGCCGTTGCTCAGTTTTGAAAAGTTCGTATTGTGCATGTAAGTAATCTTAGCATACTATAACAATAAATATTGTGTCCAGGTAAGAAACCGATAACTACGATTAATATATTTATACTGCTTGTGTTCCGAGACTTCCGAGATCGATAAAGAATAAGTTAAAAAAAAAACAATTAAGAAAATTACATAATGTACTGCATAAAATAATCATATATTGATTTCTCGCTAGTATATTTCAGTCAGTTTTATTTTTTATATGAATACTGTGCTGTCGCTGTGTAAACAATAGTAGACAATCACAGTACATTGTTTATGGAGCTACAATACAGCCCGATTCCTTCACCTGGATTGACCAATCAGTGGGCCGCTGTAACTTTGCAGGAGGCAGACTCCACGGCAGGTATCGCACCTTTAATCTCGCTGGAGAAGCAGATCATGCTAATTACGTGCCTCAGGTATGTGTCTGTGCATAGATATGAGAGAGCGTCCACTTCATGATGACATAACCGGATTGTAAAAAAGCGATAAGAGGCTCCTTTAATTCCGCATTTACACATTCCTGTAGCGATTGCACGCGGCTCCATACACCAGTTCACATTGTGCATTGAAACACCTTACTCACGTCTTGCTGTGTTGCCTGTAAACAATCATGTGTCCCTACTTTGTTAGAAAAATCTACCAACTTCAACCCCAATCCCAGTTTGACATATTGCTTAAAATGTCCTCACAATGTAGACTTTTCCGTACTTTCCGAATATGTCGTTACATTCAGTTGCAATCTCCTATGATGTTTTGAAAAGGATATGAACCCTTATCTACACTGAAATCCTTCCAGAACGCCTTATAGAATTGTCCTGCATTGTCTCTCCATCCGTCTGTCTTTGTTTATAAAGGGGAACATACAGTGTTTTTTATGTCCATTCGTCCCGTACCGTACCTTACGGTACTGTACCGTTCCGTTCCAAATCAATGCCATGTCTACAGAACTCCTGAATACATCTGGTTTAAAATTAACCTGTGGTATGATAAACATACACCTAACCATATTCAGTCAAGGTTCGAGGGTCTAAGGTCAAATTTAACAACTTCTCCAGGTTATCAAACAATGATACTTATATGCAAGGGAGTGGGGACAGTCATGTCTCACAGGTATTTTCTATGTATGACAAGAAGGTGTTTGGAAGATAAATCACTCGCGAGCGTTTTCTCAATTCTCATGCAGAGCCAGCCATTCATTTCAAATCTCTCCCGATCATTCACGACCACTTTAGACAGTAACTCAACAGACTGCCGGTTAGTTACTTAAACATTAGCAACTCCCCTTTCTTATGGCGATTTCGAAACGTTTTACATAGTTAGGTCTCATTCAATTTTATAACATAAGGAAAATAATCACCAAGAGTATCGAAAATTGCCCTTTTATTTAACTAACAGTTTAATTTCTGAAGCGTTAGATCTGTACACAATGAGCATTCGCCTGCCACTGTACGCTCGCGATTATTTATAGTACCTAATGCACTTCATGTTGGTACAGTACAGTATACTCATACGAATCACTTCGAGGCGAAGTCTCTTTGTAGTAACTGATCGCTGCCTCATTGAACAACATATCTTTGTAGGGGAAGCCCATCGTATGAGTACGCCAAACAGAACAGTTAAGGTAAAGTGTCTTGCCCAAAGATTTAAATACATCAGCACAGAGCGGCAAGTTTCTCAGCTTTCTGAAAAACGCAAACTCCAACGGCACCTTTCGACCACCACGTGCCGAGTGGTGTTGTTTTCGACCCGATGGTTTCTTCTACATACATGTACATACCTTCCAGAACAACTACCGTTTTGAATAATTTCACACTGATATATTCTGTTTCTGAAATGTTCGCTTCATTTTCGATGTATATAACCAAATCACTTACAAAAATGAACTTTTCTATGCCGTCCAGGTGTACTGCATATGTCTTGGACAACGTGGGTGGTAGGTCCCTGGACCCCTCGGGGAGTGACCTTGGATACGAGTCGAGATACATACTTGTACTGCGCACACAGGTGAATAACTTATAACCAGTTTATAAATAAATATGATTCATCAGATTGGATAAAGGCACGTATAGTTGCCTACCTGTGCTTGCTGTGATCTAGATTCATTCAATAGATGTGACAATATTGTTCTAAAAAGAAACTGACATGGATCAATTTTTTTCAAATGTTTATTTGTAAAATGTACAATAAAAAGAGCATAAATCGATTTAAATAAATAAATATGTACACTGAAATATATACAGCCCAAAATCATGAAAAGAGACATCATTTTAAAAGGTTAAAAAACAGCACAAAATAACAACAACCTTTTCCGGTTCAGACAAAATCTCACACGTTCGGATTTAGAAACAGGTGAGATTCTCACCAAACGAGATGAAACACAACACGATAATGATGAATACCTGTATGTTCCAGTATAAATATTTATCCACTAGATGGCATTGTGTTCATAAGAAAGCGACACCTAGTGTTGGTAAACGTAGAGTGGTCTGCTTGTTCAAAATCAGACCGGAAGTGAATTTACACACGGAACAAAATGAGAGAAAAGTGAATTTACACGCGAAACAAAAAGAGATTAAAGTGAATTTACGCACGAAATAGAATGAGAGAAAAGTTGTCAGTCGATCTACTAACAGTGCATCTGTGTGTGGTTTCTTTGCCGCCATATTGGTTGAAGATATTTTTGGTTATGCCGCGGTCACTGACGGTCATTGACGCGCGACTGTTTGGAGTGATTCGCACGTCAAAATGGCGGTACGAGATCACGTTCTCCGACTGAGTGTCTGTAATGGTCCTCTCCAGAGCTACGCCTATCTCTGTCTGGTGTCCAAACATGTCATAACCTGGAAAAAAACCAAAGATTCAATTAAATTCCTTTGTAAATTAACTGGTCACGTCGGCATTGAAATTTTATGTCACCCTTTATAATTTATGTAAAGTTCATTAATCGTGATGTTACTTTAAAGTCTCGGAGGAAATATAAGTAGAATGTTACCTTTAACTTCGCCGCCAATAATTGTCCGTCTGTCGTCCGAGCCGGCACAGTTAGACAGATCGGCCACTATGCGTATATTTCGACCCTTTTGGAGAGAGTATTTGAGTGACTTGAATGACGTCTCCACACGAACTTTGAGTCTTGGGTCAAGGGTAAATCTCACGTCACCTTTCCTGAAACAAACACAAACACACAAACGATTACCGCAATGTTTCTTTAAAAGATACAATTCTGAACAAGGCAATTGGTCAATGACTCGTTGTTATCTCATACTGATCACTACAGACGTTTATTGGGAAGAAACCGGTATTAACCAGAAATACCTCACATTAAAGACAGGGTCAATCTAATTTATCAGACAATTTTAAAATGATGCGGCACGAACCCTTAGATAAGTACCATTTCAAAGTACAAGACGAATTTAATTAAATCAGTTTTATTTGTCACTTGATACATATTTCATAAAAAAATATGCGTAAATTTTCAAATTGAGTACCCTATAAACAGACTTTTTTTCGAGTTGGCTGGACATTTTTTTGCCGACACAATCATGTGACGTCATACAAGTGTTATAACATGAGTGTCTAGTGGCATGTACAGACCAATTATGTAATATTGTATTGGCATTGTAACAAACAATAGAAAGGCCATTTCAATTAAAAGTTAAATTTTTTTTCATCACAGAGGCCTTAATTCAAACCATCGTCACAAGAAAAATCTAGATTTTATATTGCGAGATTCGTAAGACTCTACACTGGCCGTCTTGTGTTTTATATTGACATGTGTTTACACTTTCACCGACATGTTTGATGTTCTGTCCTAAACACACTTTGTGTGTGGAGTTCGTTACACTGAGTGGGAGTTGATAGGCCTATAAATCATAAAGATTAGATGTAAGGTGAAACCACAGCTATAAATTATCAATTTATATTTACAATTGTTTTACATTATTTAAGCTAGGTGTGTGTATCAATATAAATGGAGACGTGTACATGATAGCTATGATACATCACTGATACAGAATTGTATGCGTTGTACCTCGAGTGTACCATAATATCATATACCACGTAGATAGTCCAGTTATCAAACAAAATATCCAGATGAAAAAAGAAATGAAGCCGAAAGAGAGGTTACACTGTACTGGTCGATTTTTGTCTAAAAATAGCAAACGATAACCTTAACCTCTGAGTACTGAAGAACACTCTTCCAAGGTTTTATCACACTCGGCAACAATACAAATCGATTAAATCATTTTTAAAGTGTCTTCATATGAATGACGACGTTTAGGGATTACATGCAACGGCATGGAACATGACAGCGCACGGAACGGACTTGGAAATGGACACACGTATGGAAAATTAGATGTTCCGTCATCATAAAATGGTAGGGTCATAAAAAATTGAACCGTCATTTCAAAATAAATTGGCAGGCACTAGGTGTGTTTTCCCCAAACCTAATCCTCAAATGAAGACTCTAAGTGTGAAGTTTTCTGCCTACTAGGTGCGGACTGTGTTTAACAGGAAACTGGGATCACTAACCAAATTATGCTATCTGTCTTATCTTCGGGAAAGACATTTTGACCCCCTCCCACTTTTGTTATTTAATGAGTTGACCATCAGCTACTAAAAGAAGTCTTTCTAAAAATGACCATGGCTTTGCACCAAACAAACACTATTTTAATTCCGACACAATGAGACAAAGCTGAATGCATTGAAAGAAAGAAATTACGTTCGTGATCTTGTAAGGCCATATTACAAAATCTGCAATTTGCGTCTGTTTGTGTCTGTGAAAGTAATCTAAATCACATTCCCCAGCGGATTTGTGAACACTTAAACCATCATTTGTTTAAGCATGAATTCGCTTACATACATGTATGCATGTATTGTGCCAATAAATCTGCACTATGTCAGTGATAATAAAACAGATTTTAAAAGCATTTTAAATCCTTACCACGAACCTCAAATTGCACGTAAGCTTGACATGATTGCCAAGGTACGTGTTGTTTCTAAACCTAACACCTTCACCAACAGCTGCATGACTTGGGGAATGATGACCGATGACAGAATTATGGTACATGGACTTAACAAACCTGCACAGACATGAAACATGAACCCTCAAGAACAACAAAGGAAATACGACATGTCAACAGATTAATTCAAACTCAATGTTGAAGGAACTATGGCAAAGGGAACTCCTGAAAACATACAAGTACAATAAAATCAGGTGTTTCGGAAGGGCAAAGCATCTTCAGCTTCATCGACGGCATCCGGCATGTAAATCTTGTAAGCAATGTAATGTTCCCAAAAAGAGAACAAGGTAAACAACAACGGAACCACAATGCAAACTAACACGAGTATCAAACACGTCCAACATCATGTCATACAAAGAAATAGAATGCTTCGTAATGAAATCGTCATGACGACTCCAAATTTCCCCTCATCAAAAACGACGTAACATAATTGTGATGTCATTGGTATATCTCGGGAAGGAAAGAATTCATACCCTACCTCGCCAAGCTGATTACAGGTAATGCTAGAACCAAAAGCGCTGTTTGTTATAAGGATCTATGGAAATAAGAGGGTGTTTGTTTAATTGGTATAAAGAAGGTAAACGCTGCAATGGATGCAACCTATTTGTTATCGTCGCCTGTTATCTTCCAAAGTAAAAGTCACAACATGAAATCCTAAATCATGCAGGTGTTTCCCACATAAGTCGCCTCCTCTTAAATCTTGCAGAAGCTGTCGTAAAGCAGCATATGTCTATGCTTAGTATTGCAACGCTCTTCAGCTAACGTAAAAGTGTTCAGTAGTATGATTAGTACATTTAAATGTAACTGTCGTAATGTAGATTTTGTTTTATCCGCCATTAGCTGTTTTAGGTCGGGTAGTGCAAACCCTTACACTGTCACTTAAGTCCGTAAAGCAGACAGAGTTTCACAAAGTACATGTCTGGAGTTGTCAGAAACTATCACCTATAATTGGTAAATTTCATCAATTTACAGGTAATTTATGGCCAAATGCGGCTATGCATATCAGTAAACATATTGACACTTAATACTGGGACAAGGGAAATTCCGGTGGCCCTTGACTTTCAAAGTACATCATTTCCACAGCATACAAAAGAACCTTTTCATAAACACCATGTATAATGTTAACTTTGTATTAGTATTCATTCATCTTCAAACTTAACGACAAAGAAATATCCCATAATATCCTTTGATTCTTAAAGCAGGCCAAAAAACACCTGAAACTGTTCATCTTTGAAAATAGACAGATATCTGATGACTGGAATCTGACCTGGGGTCGAACCAAGAACCTGAAGAATGAAAGACCTGAGGCGGGAAACCTACCACAATCATTTGTATACATAACCGCCCCTCACACAAACTTGTCTGTCAGTCACTTGGGTTTATTTACTCATATCTATAAACAAAATTCATCTTGTCGATATAAATATTACACAAATGTAGTAAACTGTCCCGAAAATAAAAGATTGGTATGTCTTTACTGTATATAGATCATAAGTTCATGTATTCTATACAGATCTGAAAGCATGTACGTGTTATCTAGCCACGCAGAGAATGACCCTATGTACACACAAGTAACTAGTTGTATCATATATCAATGCACTATATTGCATCTTACAAGTATCAATATTCTTTATCGATTTCGTTACCTGGTAATGTTTTAAGCGGACCTAAACAACGTTTGTATATTGCATTGTTGGGTTACGTTACAACCAATTAGATCAATTGCATGATACCTCAAAGGCACAAAGGCCTGTATTTTTATAGAAGGCGACAAATCCTATAAATAATGAATAGTGAATCTTCCTTCTGTACAGACAAAGCTGTACGTTCCTTGCTCTTTCCCATACAAATGCACAGTAATTTAGTATTTTTTCCAATTTTGACAAAGAGTTTCATTAAAAAGTGAATTAAATCGGAGAATAAAGAATAAAATTATCTAGGAATTAACAGTATCTTCAGTAATAACAAATACATTTTACAAGTGTGTCTAATATTTTAGTATTATCTTTCACGAGTGCGGAACACAAAATAAAAAAAAAAAATGTTATATGCATGAGTAAGATTTATATTTTTATTACTGAAGCTCTATTAAATATACTATTTATTAAAATTTCACTAGCAAAATAAACAAATTACTGGAATTTTGAAAATATAGAATGAGGAAACTGACTAGGCTGCTCTCGGATACTAATCACTCATAACTTCGCAGTACGCGACAAATATAGTCCCTTATTTTTAAATTAATCAGAAACATGCTAATTTACTTTTATGCTCACGTAGAATAGGTTACTTATTCATGTTTCTAATAGACAAAATGTTCGGTAAAACGTTCAGAGAGAGTTAAACCGTGTGAAAAATTACTACGCGGCGGAAAATATAGCGACAGGCTGAAGCTGTCGCTGTTGATAACACGAATTCCTTTGAATAGAAGATTTGATTTGATTTCTGATAAGGTAATGTGAGTTGCGTTGTTGGCTGACTTTCATAGAATTGAAAGTTCACCGTGGAAATAAAGGTCGTGTTACTAGTAAACAATCCCTTCGGATTTCTGGTTTTGTCGTTTTTGCATCGGGCTTTATCATTTGTCAATTTTATAAGATGATTTGTGTTCTCTCTTTTCATTGGCGTAAGTCTGCAACGTGTTGTTATTTTTCACTAAAGAAAGATAACACTTTTATCAATTAGATATATCTCTATATTTCACGGGCAAAAAAGTAATAAAATCAATTAGCGCTAATAAAAACTAAATCTCGAATTAATCAAAGTGTATTTTCTGCTTCTTAAACTTAATACGTTCGTAATCAAGGCAATTTCTGTAAATATTGTTGCTCTTATGCACAGGAAGCCATCTTTAAATGTCGTTACGTAGGCGTAAGAGAGTAAAAGAAACACAACACAGTAATTGTTTGATACCCGTGGTTACGTATCCGGTTTCGGAAAGAAGAGGTGATTCTTTATTTCGCCAAGACGATTTTTTTAAAACGTTCAGACAATCATGGTTTTATAGCCGTAATTACGTATCTAATAAAGGAAACAAGAACATAAACCTTTTCTCGACCCTAGCTTCGGTAGTTTAAAAGATTTGATTGCTCACTCATAAACTATCAACTAGAGCACACTACCAGAAAAAAATCACCAAGGCGGGAAATGTAGGTGTTACGAATCTAATCAAACTGATCTAACGGTTTGGTGACCACAATTTTAGTTGTCGCTGAAAACTAAAATATCCGGAAGCTATCATTTTAGAGTTTAGGTAAGACACATTTTGCTTGTTTTGGTTATAAAAAAGGGCATATTACAATATCCGACGTGTGAGTTTTTTACTAGACACGGTTACGTAAATTGTTAATGTAAGTTAGATCCAGTAAACTGCAATGGTTTGACATCTGCTACTGTGATCTTTTATTTGAAAGTAAAGACAACAGATGGCACTGAAATAATAACTGTGCCTATGTACTGCCAACAGGCAGGAATCGTTTGATAACCACATTTATGTATCTGGTTTTTGGGAAAATATAAATGATTTAATAGCTGTATCTACGTATCAGGGTTTTTGGTGTTAGGGAGGGGAATATACACGAGACTAAGGCCAGAAGAAAGAAAAGGTTCAAATGTCATATACACACCTTATTTTAGCAATTATTTGATAGCCGTATTTACGTATCTAATTTCAGGAGAGTAAAGCCAGCAGACAGCAATGGTTTGATAACCGTATTTACGTATATGAGGCTAAGGCAATAAGAAAGCAGTTATTTTATTGTTTTGGAGGGAGAAACATGACCATATAGTAATTATTTGATAGTCGTATTTACGTACCTAGTTTTAGGAGAGTAAAGCCAGCAGACAGCAATGGTTTGATAACCGTATTTACGTATATGCGGCTAAGGCAGAAATAAAGCAGTTATTTAAGTGTTTTGGAGGGAGAAACATGACCATATAGTAATTATTTGATGGCCGTATTTACGTACCTAGTTTTAGGAGAGTAAAGCCAGCAGACAGCAATGGTTTGATAACCGTATTTACGTATATGAGGCTAAGGCAGAAATAAAGCAGTTATTTAAGTGTTTTGGAGGGAGAAACATGACCATATAGTAATTATTTGATGGCCGTATTTACGTACCTAGTTTTAGGAGAGTAAAGCCAGCAGACAGCAATGGTTTGATAACCGTATTTACGTATATGAGGCTAAGGCCGAAATAAAGCAGTTATTTAAGTGTTTTGGAGGGAGAAACATGACCATATAGTAATTATTTGATAGCCGTATTTACGTACCTAGTTTTAGGAGAATAAAGCCAATAGACAGCAATGGTTTGATAACCGTATTTACGTATATGCGGCTAAGGCAGAAATAAAGCAGTTATTTAAGTGTTTTGGAGGGAGAAACATGACCATATAGTAATTATTTGATAGCCGTATTTACGTACCTAGTTTTAGGAGAGTAAAGCCAGCAGACAGCAATGGTTTGCTGGATAATCTCGTTCTTATCTGGGTCGACTGTATAAAGGTCGATGACAGTGGTCCCGTCCGAGTACAGTGTTACGTCTCTTAGTAACTCCACAAAGTCTGCAGTAATAACATCCTCTTATTATGTGTAGAAGATTTGCTTCTTGCATGTTAGATATTAATTACGACTTTATTACATATAATAATGAGTTCTCGATTAAATAGCTGTTGTACTTATTTTTCTCGTTTCTTATTTTCAAAAGATAGCATATACATACAAAAGACAACATCAAACATTATCACATTCACGCATGAATTTCATGAAAATCGCATACAAGTCTATTGTGATATTATCTTGAAAATCATCTTCATCATCACACATACATATCAATTTCCATTATCATAATGATGATATTTACATTTACATTTTTCGATCAACTTTTAATTGAAAGTCGTACTCACCATTGCCGTGCTTGACCTTCTGTGAGCTGGAGAACTTAATACTGTTTTTACCGTTGTTGCCGTTAGACCTATGGATTTCAAACACGTTAATGAAGTCTCCAAATGCCGTACGTTCTAAGTCATTCCGTCCCACCAAACTGCATTTCCGAATATCAGCAGCATAATGTACCTTTCTTCCTTCCATCAAGGCCGACATGACTCCCTCAAAGTTGTGCAACTTCCACGAGCGGTGTTTTCTGGGGACGGCTATGCGGTCATTCATGACGTTTCGGCCCTTATGGCTCGTTTTAGGTATAACAGGGAGAGAACTGGTCATGTTGGCCCACCGTTGACCGGCCTTGACCCCTGTGTGCGCGGCCTTCCTTGCCTCTTCATCTTCTGTATCACTAGACGGGACATATCTGCAAAATATCGCGATCACACACATCAGACTATAACATTTTGTCGTTTTATACCAATATTTATTTTGACTCAAATATGGAGTTTTCAAGTACTTGATTCATCTTGGAAAGCGTTAAATAGGCCCGTGAAATATATTCAAGAGAACGATTTCCTGTCGGCAACATAGCAAGTTTTTTTTCAGTATGCTAAATACAACACAGGTGGCTGCCATTTTAACGAGTGCTGACCTAACTCCATGAGACGCGTAATTTGAATATGTATGCAAAAACAAACGTCCGTGTCCTATTCAGTGAGTAAAAATTACGGTCATCTTGCACGTGTTGATGATTATATTGATTGTATTATAATGATGCAATATATTAGATTAGTATTAAGGTACATCTGTATAACGAGTTGATACATTATTACATTACCTACCGGACTAATTATGTAAATTTATGTGCACACGAAAGGCTATCTACTACTGCTATCGTCGTTAAATCACATCCATCTATTTTTTGGACCCCCACTGCAATGTGATAGGTGTGCACAATCTTGTGTGCGCTTGATGATAATTATTTTTAAAAATATTTACTCAACAATGAATTAGAATCATCCATGTGCATCACCAGATTAAGACAAGTACTGTGACACAGCGGAAGGGATGGGGTTGATGTATTGGTATAATAATTAGATATTCTCGTGTGTCTCTAACCTACGCAGATATTCAAGACCGATAACTCTAATTTGTCCTCAGGCGCCTAATGAAGATGTACTTGTATAATGTATTGGAGAGGTATTATGATATTTCACATCGACCTACCTCTCGCCTTTGATCTTCTTTATCTTTATCATGTCATAGGGACTAACTGTCTTGACAACCTCGCTCCCATCCTGTACCCGGTACCATCCCTCGTGCCATTGAAGCGAGGCTTGCGTCAGGGTCGCAGACATCGCGATCCGCACCTGTTAAAAGAAGACAAAATAAGAAATAAAACCAACTCCGTGCCTGGCATTAAGGTAAACTTGTCGTAATTGTAACCGGATAATGTATGACACTATCTTTAAACATTTATATTCGGGGTGATCGATCGAAGTGATAAATCCTGTAAATTGTTATTCTTAATTCTGTTGGTTTGACGAGAGAACGGTAGCCAGTTGTACACGAACCCCCTGCCAAGGTAAATTGGTACACGTGCGGACCTATCCTCAACTGTCATTTACGGCATGTAGCCACACACCTGTGTCAGATTCAAAACTTGTAAAAACTCTAACACAAACATGTAGGTTGGTTCGATCTGTCTTGTGTGTTATTGTCCAGATCATCTACATAAATAAGAATTGTCAACGTCAACCAAGAACGGCCCTGACGTACGACAAGGTCATAATGGTAAGATTAACACTCCTGGCTGACAGGGACTCAAACCTGTCCACAGATTCAACAAACTACCTGTTTACATTCTAGTATTCCTGTCATTGCAATAACAAAACTGATGGTATAAAATTGTTAGGATAAAAAAATATCTGCTTTGACCCTTTGAGCGCATTACGAAACGAACTATGTAAGCATTCAGTATTAAATAGGGAACATGATTTTGTGCCCGTGAAAATGGAGAAATTTCTGTTCCTTTGCTTACTAACGATATTATGTTCCATCCCTCTCTCATCATTTTACTAAGCATACATTTTGTCTTCGTTTGGATCTTATTCCCGAACGAAGCAGTTATGAGTTATGTCCCCTGGCCGAATTAGACGAAAGTCCATAAAATTCTTACTTGCTGTATACACTACTTGATGTTAAATTGTAGCTTAATGGCGGGGTGTCATGCTATAAAGAGTTTAGGTTGTTAAAATCATAGAGAAGCAGAGCATCACCAGAAAGTTGAAGTTTGCCCAAACGAGAAAGGTTTGGGGTTCAGTTCCGACAGCAACAGAAAAAAACCTTTTAATTAGTACTTCGTGTTCTTTGCTTAACAATGTGCCGTTCGAGTCAGCCATTTCCGGAGTCAATTTCGTGATTAGTTTCAATTTTCGGAAATTGTGACGTAATCTCATTAGTACATAATGCCCGGATGTAGTGCCCTGTAATCGTGTCGAAGTTATGACGTTTCTGCGAATTGGACGTCATTTAATAAGCATCCCCCGTCATTTGTTGACCCTGTCCTTGTACATTTTGTACGATCTTTTAACGGTGACGACATAAAATCCCAAACGAACAAGGAGGATCGCTAACGCTGATGCTTTATGTTTAGATGTGATTTGTTTGTAGAGTTGTTAGCAGTCGCTCTTAAAATATTTGTCAATAATGCTAGTATACGATATCCAAGTCTATCACCAGGGAATTGCAAGGAAACACACATCGCCGGTTGTTCCTAATACAATTTCATAAGTTCGCAAATCATTCATCATTTTAAGAAAGATTAAAAACAGAAAGAAAAGAATAAAAAAACTGAAATCAGAGTTTACAGAGGAACAGATTACAGATGAACAGATGAAGGCAGTCGGAAAGTTAGCTCTATAAATTCTCATATCGATCTGGGACGGACCTCCATAGAAGCTTAAGTTTATAAGCTCTACACTACGATGGTATGTATGTTTAAGTGTGATTTTATATACGTATACTCTATTAAGAATACATTCAATGTCTATTTACCTTTGTAAAATTGGCTAAAAGCTTTTAGGGCAAAATTATAATGATATGTAACGAAACCAGACTGATGAACTTTATACAGATACGATATCTTTAACCTAGACTAAAAGTTGTTCGGCACGCATGCGCAACGGATGGAATCACTATCAGGTGCAAGTATCTGTCCTCCGGGTAGGTTTGTGTAAGTAATATAATCATTTTTTCACATTCATGCGGAAACAAGTGTGTGATGATATTTCAACAGTCTTCACCACTCAATCTAGGCTTATCAACCTCATCCTCACATGCGTGGTATTTAAACAGAGTTATTGCCCTTTATTCTAAAAGTCGAATGTTTCCCCGCTGAAATGGCACACCGCGTAACATTTTATTAATTGTTTAGTGGTAAACACTGTCTTGTCAATAAATAAACAACAAATCTGTACAACTGTTAACCTTCTGAACGTAAATGTTTTACCTGTCCTTGCACCATTTATAACACTATAACACTGATTGCATAATCGCGTTGTGATGTCCCTTATATATCTATTGTGCATTGTAATTCCGGCCTGAACTTGTATTTCACATGTATGATAGCGGTATTGTACCTGACTGTACCTGCTTTACACATGTGTTTTCCAAAATATTAATTGTATAATACAAACATGCATATGAAACCTGTGTGATAAATTTGCGACACCGTAATGAGACCCACCATACTTGTACGATATATGTATCAAATCTATATTATAAAATGTACGTCTGATACATGTATGATACCTGTCTGTTGTATATGCCTGTTATATCTATCTGCATTTTTTAAATGTATGTGATACCTTTATGTCATACCTGTATGGTATACCTGTTTGTTTACCTGTATGTTATACCTTTATGTTATACCTGTATGTTTTACCTGTATGTTATATCTTTATGTTATACCTGTATGGTATACCTGTATGTTATACCTGTATGTTTTACCTGTATGTTATATCTTGATGTTATACATATATGGTATACCTGTATGTTTTACCAGTTAAATTTATATGTTTACCTATATGTTATACCTTGATGTTATACCTGTATGCCATACCTTGATGTTATACCTGTATATTATACCTGTATGTTATACCTTGATGTTATACCTGTATGTTATACCTGTATATTATACCTGTATGTTTTACCTGTATGTTATACCTTGATATTATACCTGTATGTTACACCTGTATGTTATAATTATGTTATACCTTTGTGTTATACCTTTATGTTATACCTGCATGGTATGTGGATATTTATGATACTTGACAGTCGTGTACCATAGTGTCATAACCCCTTTTCCAAAAGAACGAAAATAACTCGAAGTGAAATCACAATACGTCTGTGAACATATTGTTTCAAATTAATTCACGAGACAACTTATTAAAATGTCAGTGTGCGGGTTCCAATGACACCGAGTTGACAAAAATTATTTTTGTAGTAAGTAGGTCACATGTCAAAATGTATTATCTCATCATCGGAATACTGCATTTTTAAATGACCCTATCCATAAAGTTGTTTTTTTTTTCATTCCTATGCCGGTTTTTTTGGGGGTTTTTTTTATGGCAAACTGCGTTGTATCTGAAGCAGACGGGGCAAGATGGACGAGTTGGTCGCCAGGATACCGGCTTCAGGGGAGAATTTGATAATTATAACAATAGTTATGTCATTTAACTCCGTTGACTTTGTCACTTGTGCCATGTTTAGTTGCTAACCCTGTAAATTTTCACACGTGACTCACACCGGTAATACACCGACTTTTGATATGTGGCTTGTAATGTCACGCAACGTGCCGCTAATCACAGACTGGTCCGTGTTCGCTTTGGAGTTTAGTATGTACCGTAATCCGGGTTTTGTGTCCAGACTCCGAACCTTTGATATTAATCACCCTCAGACCGCACAGGGATATGTACACGGCGTCCATTTCTGTAATCCAAGTGATAGCGACTGACGGATTTGAAATAAATTAATTCATTTAATCTGTCACCGAGATTTAGTTTACACGTCGATGATAAATGCTACAGTCATTTTATCTACTCAAGTAGGTCACAATACCTTTGAATTGTATTTGGTTAAAGCGTCGTGAGGACACCGCCATTTATCTCTGTCATTTCAACAAGACACACTCTCAATTGCATTAAGGTGATTTCAAATCAGTTTATATTCATTCACTGTCTTTTCCATGTTGTTTGAGGACTTGTGAAACAAATAGGCTTTATGGTAACCGTGGGTCGACTTCTAGTAGAAAAATCGGCTCAAGCGTCGCGGTTACAAATTTGCTGCGGTCTGTAAAGATTTTTTTCTTTCTATAAACTCTGCATTATTTTCTAATGTTTATTTGAGCAGTATTTTGTCTGCATCAGTCTTGTAGACTTTTACATTACACATTCTTCAGATTTTGAAATAAACAATGAAACTACCTGAGTTGTCGGTCGGACTAATATGGCCTGCGTTCTAACGTATTTTGTACCATAAAAAAACTTACATCGATATTCATATCACTGTTTTTATTGTGTAGTTATTTATTCCGCTACACGTCAATTCTTGTCACAGATTGCATTTTTGTGTACCATGGCGAGGCGTGGCGACTATACAGGGTCGCTTACAACACCTCGTGTCACTTATGACATTAAAAATAACAGCATTCTTTGTCACACTTATAAGAATTCAATATATTTGCAGACGCAAAATAGTTGCTACGTAATGATACACAGGCCCAACACAATGGTTAGTCGCTGTAGCTTGACACTTTCCCGTCGTAAATGACTGACGTGCGGATAGAAATGAGCGCGAGGCATTTCTGCTAGTAATTAGTGTACTATATAATATTACTATAAACTATATACATCATTTTCATTACCAACTGACGTAGGATTATCATCGTTCCTTTCCTCTCCCCGCCGTCATTTTGAGTTACATCGACCTCGCGCACTACTAACTTAAGACAACACGACAGGTCAGCACTAGGCTAACTCAGCATATCTCAACTTCTAAACAACAAGGATTACATGCATTTAGAAGGTTGCCCACAGCTTCCTCGTTGAGATTAGCATCAACTACGGCAAGCATCAAGACAAAAAAATAAGTATTTGTGTATTTCATTAGTATGGATGAACATTTTCATCAAGTTTGAGGATTTATAATCATCAAGAAGGCTTGAATCATCAGCAAGCAGGCTTGAATCATCAGCATGTAGGCGTGAGTCATCGGCATGTAGGCTTGAGTCATCAGCAAGTAGGCTTGAGTCATCAGCATGTAGGCGTGAGTCAACAGCATGTAGGCTTGAGTCATCAGCATGTAGGCG